GAGGGGTCTTGTCTTCTGGGCAACCAAGGACCACCAAACACACTGGCCAGGCTTGCGTCCCAGAGAGTTCACTATGATTTTACTTCACCCCTGGAGGCACACTCCACTGTCTCTCAAGACAGATGGATGCCAACAACAACAACAAGCATTTAAAGGTTACAGCCTACTTCTTCAGCTGCAAAAGAGGAATGGGCAGCAGCATGTAGTGCAAGTCATTTAGTGAGACGTTGTCTTGCAATGATATTAATTTTTAGAGGGGCAGTACTGGGAGAGCAAGTGGAATATTTGCAGACTGGATAATGGCAGAAGACTCCATAGTAGTTATTGAAGCCCTGGTTCATGGCACCTATTATTATACAAACACCTGTTCTTCCAGCTGTTCCTCAGCAGCCTCTCAGTGCCATATCCATTTGCCTGCATTATCTCCCCAGAGCTTGGATGGGATAGGTATCCATTATTTCACATCTCTGTTCTGATGCTATCTGAAGGCATCACAGTTATTCAGCAAAGAACTGAGACTACAGATGATTAGCATGGTACAAGGAAGAGTGAAGTGCCATGCTGGGCAAGAAAGTCTGAGATTGTAGGTGTGTGTGGGGGGGTGCCTTATTTTTATTTAGTCATTAATGTCCCTAGATGTAAGAAGTTCTGTTTTGATGTCTCAGCTGAACCTTAGAAGATTAAAAGCATTTTGATCGTTGCTTTTTGCAGCCAACGTTAAACATTATTGTTCCCATGAAGTCAGAGTGTAGGTGTTTGTGTGTGTGGAGGAGAGTGAAATTAAGAAAAGAGCATTTGGTAGCAGATAAAAACAATGAACATAATCATAAAATTATATAGCTCTTTGCAAACTTCTCTGTACAGGCAGTGTAACATGATCAACCCTGCAACTTGTCTACTTAAGATTAAAACAAGTCAGTGTGATGTTCATTGTGCTTTTCATGCATAATAATAATAACAACAGCAATAATAGTAATAACAGCTTTCATTAGGATAAGTCATAGATTCTCTTTCATGCAAAGCAGCTGTGTTCTCAGAGAATGGCTGTGGGGACTGTCAAAATCTTCCCATGCCAGCATTCATCTGTTCACAATTGTCTGCTATTCTCCCCACATAGGATTTTTTTTCTCCCTTAAAAATAACACACAATGGATGCCTGCCAGCCAGTCAGCCAGGTTTTACCAAAATTTGCCAGCTCTCATGAGTGGCAAATAACTGTGGATAAATACATGCAATATTTTGAAGAGAAAATTTATCCACACCCTGCAAAATTCTTTTAGCTTATGTAAAAAATTATTCGGGTATTTAACTTTTGAGTGACATTCATATATATTTGATATCTGTCTGTCTGTCTTGTCTATCTGAAATTAGCCTTCGGCAAATTCCACTGACAAGCAATTCAGGATTTCAAAGGCCTAAGATTTTTGAAGTGGGGCTGTGGTCTAAACCACTGAGCCTCAGGCTTGCCAATCAGAAGGTCAGCGGTTCGAATCCCCGCGACGGGGTGAGCTCCCGTTGCTCAGTTCCAGCTCCTGCCAACCTAGCAGTTCGAAAGCATGCCAAAAAGTGCAAGTAGATAAATAGGTAGCGTTCCAGTGGGAAGGTAAATGGAGTTTCCATGTTCTGCTCTGGTTTCGCCAGGAGTGGCTTAGTCATGCTGGCCACATGATCTGGAAAAACGGTCTGTGGACAAACGTTGGCTCCCTCGGCCTGTAAAGTGAGATGAGCACCGCAACCCCAGAGTCGTCTGCGACTGGACTTAACTGTCAGGGGTCCTTTACCTTTACCTTTTAAAAAATATTTTTGAACTCTTCTCCCTTACCTCAAAGTTCCTCTGCTTTTCCAGCTGAGGTTCACTTCAAATTTGGTTTTAACATAAAGCCACGTGGACAGTTCTATTCATGAACGAGCATCCTGCTTTGAAACTTCAGTTTAGAATAGTTAACATAGATGTGCAAGTTTCTCTGAACATTCAGGATTAAAGATGTTCCCTTAGCCTGCCTCTCTTTACAAAAGTAGCAACATGTTCTTTTCATGACTTTTTGAAAACCGTTTTGCTTCTACTACACTGTTTTTTGTAATACTTTAGAGTTTAAATCTTCTCGTTTGAATGTTTTTGTTGATAGCAATTTTAACTTTTTGTAAACCGTCTTGGGAACCTGTTTAAGGACAGGGTGCAAAGAAAATAAATCAAGTGGTTCACTAATTTGATTCCCACGTATTCAGAGGATATTGCCCTTGTAGTACCAATGACCTTTAAAATACTGGGTTGTTGTTTTTTTTTAACAGCAGTCCTTTCCCCCTGTGATCATATTGCATGGTATCTCATTTCAAGCTTTTAAAATAGAATGATTGCAGACTTTGTCTGATTGCAGAGATTGTATTACATTTTGTTTGACAAAGAAAGCTAAAAGATGCATACCTTCTTCCTTCACTTCAGAGTTTTGTAATTTAGATGTATGGAGGATGCAAAGTAGCTATGGTTTCGTGCCTGAACCACAAAGATCGATTGAACATGCTTAATTGGTCCTTATCTTGCAGTTATACTTAACACTTCTTTTGAGGAAGATTCTAAAAGGATACAGTTACTGCCTTTCTAAAGTACTCTAGGTGTAGGGTTACCCAGTTCTCTTATCTCTTCCCCGTCTCCTTCCCCAAAGTTGAGCACAGCATTTTACATAGCAACTAATGAACATGTTAGTGATCGGTGCAGTCGGAAATTCAGGCCTCTGAAAACGCTAACTCCACAAAGGTTAATAGCCTTGCAAAGTAGACTCCTTTAAAAAAATAATCACCAAAGTGGTATTTTAGTGGGTTAACACTCCAGAATAATGCATAAGGAAGAATGGGGGAAAATAGCTATCTGAATAGTTATTTGAGGTGTCCAATGACTTAGACATTTTTAACACAGTTTTATATTGTAAGTAGTTTGTCATGCAGCACAGGAGCCTAACATTTGAAAGACTAAGACTCAGCACAACCTTTGGTAGCACAGAACTAGATGTGCTTTTTTTTTGGTTTTTTTAATCTGGCCACTGTGTAATTGTTGTTTAAAAGGAGAAGAATATCATCATGGCTCACTTCAGACATCACACCAAACTATGATTAAGAAAGCTGAACTATGTTATAGTGCGATATATGGATTGGCGAACCTTGGTTTGCAATTGGCCAACAAACCAAAAATCAGAAAGCATGCTTTGTGCTAACTATGGCTTGGTGTGCTGCCAAAATTGACAGCTTATAGTTTCAACCGCCATTCTGCTTCCAGAAGCTGCTGGACAGCCATGGAAAGAAGAATGGATTTTTAAAGCTAGGCGATTTCTGCTTATGTAGCTGAAAATGAAAATTAGAAGCAGATCTGGACCTTGCCATATTCATTCATTCAATATCCCGCTTTTCAGAGAGAGTTTTGTGGCTTGCCCTGTTGTGCTTTTGAGATCTCTAGTCAACATCAGCAATTCCAGACAGGCTACAATTAGAGCCAACTTTCTCTCTGGACCCATTTCTATCATTTAGTAGGAGTTTGGTTTTTTTCCTCTGGTAGGAGAACGTGTCATCTTAGTTGGTGAAACTTAATTTTGCAAATTTCTTCAGTGAGGTGGTCTTAAAATATGTTTTGGGGTGTGAGGAATTCAATTCTGGTTTTTTTTTTTTATTGGACAATGTTTCACTTGATAAGTCTACGTTTGATGAAGAAGCACAGAAATTGCTTTCGGAAAACCAAATAATTTTAATTTTAACCTTCTGAAAATGTCAGGTAATGCTAAATAATAATACATAAGTAAGTAATGATAATTTTTAATATATGATATAACTGCAATCATTTTTAATGATTTCTGTGCAATTTTATACACCTTTTACTTACCAAGCAAAACTAAATTACCGTGTTTTTCTGTGTATAACAAGCCCCCATGAATAAGACACCCCCTATTTGGAGGAACTCCAAATTGAGAAAATGAGGGGAGATTGTATCCGTGTATAAGACGACCCTCAATTTTGAACATAATTTTAAAATAAAAAAACCTAGTCTTATACATGGAAAAGTACAGTAAATTAATTTAACCAAAATATCTTTTGAGTTCCCAAACCATGTCACAACTTTTTAGCACCCCTCATTTTGGGAACTTGAGAGTTGAAAAATTCAACTCGCCCTACTCTGATAGGCTTTATTTTCACATGGTGATTATTCTTTTAACAAGCAAATGTACTGGATCTGGCCCGCTCAAGGGGGCAGGATAAAGCTCCCGCCTCAGGCTCCACCTACCCACCCACTTCTGTTGTCACCAACTAGAGCAGTGGTGTCCAAACTTTTTTGAAAGAGGGCCAGATTTGATGTCGTTTCAATTTAGGATTGAAGTTGTTGAGCTTTTTTACGACTTTACCCCAAAGTTGTTGAACTTTATTTAGGGTTGGCATTGGCTTTTTTAGGGTTGAAGTTGTTGAGCTTTTATTAGGATTGAAGTTCTTGAGGGTTTTTTAGGATTTTACCCCAGGGAATAAACTGCCACAGGGGCCGGATTAAATTGACCGGCGGGCCGGATTAGGCCCCCAAAGGGGACTTCGGACATGCCTTAACTAGAGGGAGGCGTTCTGGTTCTCCCAGGTGGAGAAGCCAAGCAGCAATGCTTTGAGGAGCACCCTGACTCCTACGAGGCTTTGTGGGGAGCTTGGTGGTGGGGCAGGAGGCAGCAATGATAAGCTTGGTCTGATCCAGCAGAGCTGCTCTTCTTAGGAAACCAGCATTACGCTCTGCGGTTAAGAGACTGGGAAATGTTATGTTTGTACGGGAGAAGTTTCTCTACCAGGCGAAAAATGCAGAAATTCTTCTCTTAAACTCTGACTCATTTATCGCTCGGGGATTGATAGACGGCTTACAACAAAGAGCTGTTATCTACTTTGACAAGCTCTAAAGCTGCGCAGCATTAGGGTGAGATTTCTTTTTCTTCATCCAAACTAGTAATTATTCTGACTCTGTTTTGATTTCTTCTCCTGTTCCGCAGCACCATCTCCAATCACAAATGTGAAAAAAGGGAAAGTCGGCAAAAATAGCATCTCACTCTCTTGGCAGGAGCCAGATCGACCCAATGGCATCATCCTGGAGTATGAAATCAAATATTTTGAAAAGGTGTGATTGTCCGATTGCAACAATGTTCTAACTATCTTTGATTTCTGCCTTCTCTGCTTGGTTAGAATTATCGTATCTGTTCAAAAGGGATGGAGTAATTTTTGTTTGTAACTCCATGTCAAATTAATTATACTGTGACTGATTAGGAAGCCTTGATGTGTGTGTGCATTTGTGCGTATACTTATTTTCTTTAGTGCATTGCTTCTGTTGAACAAATACATTAAGGTTTCTTGTTAGTTTCATGTCCGGTTTTATTTCACTAAAATTAAGAAACTGACAGTGCAATCCTGTGCATGTCTGCTCAGAAGTAAGCCCCACCAACTTACTCCTAGGTAAGTGTGTACAGGAATGCAGCTTGATTAACTATGATTGAGGGATATACAGTAGATCATATTCTTGTTGCTTTTCCAAAATGTCATACAGTTGTTGTTATTATTATTAGACACATTTAAATGTTCAACATCCTTCACATAGATGAATTTGTAATATAATCTTAATAAGCCTAGAGTACAATTAGCTACATCAGACTGAAGGAACTTCGTAGCTCGGTCTCTGAGACACTGTCCTACTGCATAGCAGTTCTGCGTTGACATTTGGGCCATAGCTGTCAACTTTTCTTACGAAGAATCCTTTTCAGAATAAGGGAATTTCCTTTAAAAAAAGGGAAACGTTGACAGCTATGATTTGGGCTCTTCTAGAATTTACTTTGTCCAAGTATTTTAGTTTCAAAACACCAAGTCAGTTACTTCATACCACTTTCGCTGTTCTCCTTTCCCCTGAAATTAACAAAAAAAAACCCACAACATGGGAATTGTAGTTTGGTGAAGGTGCTGGGCTGGCCCAAGACATTTTGGCATCTGAGGCAAACCACAAATGGTGTTTCCCTCCCTCCCAGGAAAGAAGGGGTGAGTGAAGATCTATATCAAGAACAAGGAGAGGAATACAGATCTACATCAGGATCTTCAGTTCCTGTGGATCGTGCCACCTGAGGCAGTTGCTTCACCTTGCCTCATGGGTGGGCCGGCCGCAATGCTGAGACTTCTTTTTTAGAGATCCCTAAGCTGCCTCCTTCACCACACAGAGCCAGAGCTACAGTCCCTTGGTTTCCTTGGGAAGAAAATATTGTTCTCAAACTAGTTTAACTACAAGTGACTCGGTGTTGAACTGTGGTGCATGAAAAATCAAAATGAGGGTTAGACTAACATGAAATAATAAATGAAGGACTGAGGAGAGATCAAGTGAAACAAGCAGACTCTGACCCCCAACCCCAGGTAGCTTCACGCCAAAATGGAGGACAAAAAGTCAAGAACTCAGCCATGCTATTTAGGAGTTCACCCATTGCTCCACAGCCTGAAATCCTGATAATTCTTGACAGGGAAGTAGTTTCCCATAGATCTGGGGGCTCTGAATTACCTCCTCTTTTTCCTTGAGCATCGCTAGTATGTTAGGAATACTCTTCCGTCTTCTGTTGTTTTTGTTTCTGAACTCTGTTCAGACAGCTAGGAAAAAGCACTAAACAGTATTTGTGTGCAGACAGTGGTGGTTGTCAGAGAAGAAAGGTGGAAGGGACGGGGAGAGTCAGAAATGGGTTCTCTTGGCAGCAGGTGGGGACAGAAGAGGCTGACAGGCTTGAGGGAACAACATGCAGATAAAATGCATAGGCTAAATCCGTTGCAAACACCTGCTAATATTATGATGTGGGCAACTGCCGTGAGAACGGAAGGCTTCACAACTTAAGAACACAAAAGACCTTGCTGGATCACGCCAATGTCCCATCAAGTTCAGCATCCTGTTGGCAAACCAGATACCTGTGGAAAGCACGCAAGCAGATTTAGGGCTTCAGGGTTAATTTCTTTGTTCTTCTGAGGGAAGAGTAAGCCTGTTTTCCTTCATAATAACGTCTTACAAAGCACACTGATAAGAGCTACTGAGCAAACGCTTTGAATAAATTAATATGACCATATCCTTGCTCACATACAACGTGCAGAATCAAGATGACGTACATGAATTGCGTTTCTTGTGAGCGGGGTGGGGCGCGCGCGCAAAGCAAAGTCGTTTAAATTTAGTGAAATAAAACCTGCATACTTCATTTTGTTTTTATTACATCCATTAGGCTTGATAGTTAATATAAATGATCTTTCACACACATTCACACACACACACAAAACAGCCTACTCGAAACAGCAGTAGGGTTGCAGTTCAGTCTTAATTCCTGTTACTGTTCATGCTGCTTCCTTGTTTTGTGACTTCGTGCTGTTGGGAAGCAGTGAAATATTTCAGGTGGGGCAGGCAGTTCCCCTGCAGAGGGCATCAAGCTGGGAGAATTTTTGTCCTCACCCTGGGCACCATATTACTGGGTGGATCAGTGCAGAATCTTCCTACATTTCCATTGCTTAGACTCAGCAGGCATGGCCAAACTTGGCCCTCCAGCTGTTTTGGGACTACAGTTCCCATCATCCCTGACCACTGGTCCTGTTAGCTAGGGGTGATGAGAGTTGTAGTCCCAAAACAGCTGGAGGGCCAAGTTTGGCCATGCCTGGTTTGAGGGTGGAAGACACCCACACAATTGGCCTTGTAGCTTTTCACTCAGTTGGGTGCATTTAATTTTAGAACTGCGATAGATACAATACAGGAAAAGGCCTAGATTGGGCTTTGGGGAAGGATTGGTGAAAGAAAAACTCTCGCCGGCAGAAAAGGAAGTCTTGTGCCTTGCCTTGCCCTCCCCAGTCTGCTTTCTATCCCTTCCCAGTCCTCAAAGCAAGTGAAGTCGGGGATTTCAATCAGTCCCTGCCCAGTTGACTGGCCAGACAGAGTTTTGTGCCAATCTGGCAGTGAGCTGATGAATTTTAGATGTTCAGCGTTGCTGTGCAAGGTCTCTGTTCTCTCACGTTGCTTTACAGGGACCAAACTGAGAGGACATTCATATATGCAGGCATGCCAAATCAGGGGTCAGCAAGGTTTATCTTGCCTGGGCTGGATCGGTCCCACGGAGATCCTTCCGTGGGCTGGATTGCGAGCGCCTGCAATTTTCGGCGCCTGCGTCTTCACAGACGCAATTTTTGGTGGCACAGAAGCGAGTCCCAGCACCATGCTGCACCAGTTTAGTGCAGCGCGCAAGTGGGCATCTTGGTTCGGGGACAGCTCATGGGCCAGTCAAATAACTAGAAACGGGCCTTAGGTTGCTGACCCCTGTGCCAAATAATGCTCCTTCCTCAGCTGTACTACTGCAACATTGCAAATGGTTGGATGCTCCCCCAGGCAAAAAAAGAGGAGAAAAGTCAATCAAGGTTTTTAGCCTATGGAAGTGTGTGTGTGTGTGTGTGTGTTATACATGGGGGAACACTTAAACATGCCCTCCACCAACTGCAATGTGAGGATATACTGTCCAGAAACACTTGTGTCACATTGTGATAATAAACCCTAAAGTGATTATTTTCTATGAAGGGCAAAATGCACTTGTATTATTTTACTGTGCTGTTAAAATTCAACGACAAGCTTTGATTTCACAAAATCCTACTGCAATTGCAACCTCTCAAGTCTCATCAAATTAGCAAAGCAGCCCGTATTATACAAACGTACAGCTTTAAAACCTAACTAGCTGTATCTAACTCTTATTTCGAATATAAAGACATATAGAAAGGGAGATGATTCCATATTAAAATTTAATTTGACAGACATGTTTCAGCCAAACAATCCCTTTTGACTGCTTAGAAAAGTTTCATAGCTGCAGGTTCTTATTAAATGAGGCCCCTATCTATATTTTAAAATACATATCCTTTCAATAATTTGGCTGCAGTAAAGTAAATGTGAATGCGATCCAAGTGTCTTAATTCACCAGGGGTTGAACATGAAGCAGCTGCTAAAATAGCAAATGCCATGTTAGGCATTACTGGGCACATAATGCCAACATCATGAGAAGTAAGGTGTTCAGTTTCTACATGTGAGGGCTGAGCTACAGAGGTGCACCCACAAGCCCCGTTCTCACCTGTGTTCATTCCACCCCTGATCTTCATGCGCTGTGCAGATGTGTCTGAATGGGGTTTGCAACCATGTTCCAACTGAACATGCTTAGATGCCTCCCTGTATTGGGGAACCCTGAATTATCACAAGGAGGCTTCTAATCACGTTCAGACAACTTTGAGGACCCCAAGGGCAGGTCTGACGTGGAGGTGGTACATTTGAGGACATTGGGGCAGGGCTTGGATGTTTGCCCTTTGTCCTTCCCCTATTTAGCTCTGAGCTCCTGCAGAGGGCTGTAGCTCCATTCTGCCCCATCTAGTTCTGTTACGGCCAGTTCTGGGTGCCACACTTTAAGGAGGGCATGGACAAACTGGAGCATTTCCAGTGGAGGGAGACCAGGGTGATGAAGGATCTTGATGTCAAGTTGAACATGACCCAGCACGAAAAACCAAGACCCACAAGGAACACTTAAAAGATCTGAGCATATTATAGCGTGGAGAATAGAAAGTTAAGGGGAGATGCAATAGCAGCCTTCAGATATCTGAAGATTTGTCCCACAGAAGATGGAACACACTTTGTTGCTTCAGAGGAAAGGGTCAGAAGCAGTGCCAGATTTAGGTCGGCGGTTCGAATCCCCGTGACGGGGTGAGCTCCCGTCGCTTGGTCCTTGCTCCTGCCAACCTAGCAGTTCGAAAGCACGCCTGTGCAAGTAGATAAATAGGTACCGCTTCGGCGGGAAGGTAAACAGTGCTTCCGTGCGCTGCTCTGGTTTGCCAGAAGCAGCTTAGCCATGCTGGCCACATGACCCGGAAGCTGTACGCCGGCTCCCTCGGCCAATAAAGCGAGATGAGCGCCGCAACCCCAGAGTCGGTCACGACTGGACCTAATGGTCAGGGGTCCCTTTACCTTTACTTTAAACAAGCTATAAAATACATATTTTATTATGTGCAAGTGGTTTTCGATACCTATTAGGTCAATAAATGACCATATAGCATATATTGAACACAAAAAACAGTGGCAATTTGTTGTTGACAAAAGACAGCTGGACATATAAAGGGCCCCATTACCTTCAGGAGCTTAGGGCCTCATCAAACCTAAATCCAGCCCTGATCAGAAGCAACTGCAGGGAAGCACATTTCAGCTAAACACAGAAGAAACTTTCCTTTTTAATGGTACAACCTCATCTGACAAGTGAACAGACTGCCTCACAACGTGGTGGGCTCTCCTTCACTTCAGACTTGACAGCTGCCGGCCAAAGATGCTGTTGCATCTTGCCTTAAATATGGTGTTGCAATGGCTGACCTTCAAGCCCTCTTCCAACTCTACCATTCTCACATCTGTTAAATATAAAACTGAGTGTTCATTTACTCCCCTTCATATATGGAGTGCCGCAGGTGTGATGCTCCTAACCTTTTATCCAGAGTTGAGAGATCAACTTCAGACTCGTTTTCTTCATTTCCCCCCTTCCATGGTTTGGGGTTAAATGTGTGCATCAAAGTTCATTCTTGGTATAAGCTTTTATGTGCATGCACACTTCTTCATGCACACAAAAGCTTATTGCGTGTCGAGGACCCCCAAGACACCCCGAATAAAAACACGGTTCACACATCTTTTGTTTTGGTTTTTGGCATAATTTTGGCCACAACTTTATTGAATTACAGTATGTGAGTGGTTGCTTAGGCATTGGTTAGCGACTATCTGTTCCCACTTGGAGGTAGGAACATAACTGACAACCACACCCATGCAGAAGTCAGTAAGGTTAAACAATTTTGGGGAGAGGATAAAGCTGGGTGCCAGGCTGTCACCTCTCCCTAAATGCTCCCAGGGGCTCTTGCGTGGCCCTAGCCCTTTGCCAGGGATTCAGACAAAAGCATAGCGAGCCCCTGGATTCCTTTACCGGAATACCCTTGCAGCAGCAGCATTGGAGGGGCAGGCACAGCCAACCACATCCCCTCCATCAACCCAAAATTAACCAATGCCTAACCGCAACCTTACAAGTTGTGACAATTTGCTACGCAGTAGGCAAAACCCAAATGGCACCAGCCAATCAGCCAAATGGTAAAATTCCTACCAGGCCCCTGCCCCAACAGCAGATGACCCCATGACAGGCATAGCAAGGTCAGCACGAACAAACCCTAAATGAAGGGAGGGTGGGCAGGTAATCCGATGTGTGCAGCGAAAAGAGGAAGCTCAACGCCTGCACACAGGGAACATATATAGCACCCCCCATCAATCAAATAAAATTGCAACAATAAATTTTCCCCAGCAACAATGGAAGGTGTCCAATCAAATTCGTGGCCATCCAAACTAACCCGCCCAGCAACAGGGGATGTCATGGTTGCTCCCACCGCAACATGTGCTCTCTATGAAGGAGAACCTGCTTACCAAGAACAAACTTAGTTTGTATCTAAGGTGCTACTGGACAATTTTTAAATTTTATTTTAATATATATTTCGACTGCATCAGACCAACACGGCTGCCTACCTGAATCTAGAATCAAGGTTCGTGTTAGACTGAATTGATTCTTAACCAGGGCTTGCAGCTAGATTACAGACTCTGTTGAAAGTACACCAACAAAAGCATAAAACTTTAGCAGATGCGACTTTACACCATGTTTCACACTCAGAGAGGAAGGGAGACAGGGAGCGCGCAGCTTGCTCTCAGTCTTTTAAGTGTGGTTAAGAGATTGCAGACATTGTGTTGACAGCAGCCTAGCGTTTCTGCTGTATAGTAATAGCCACCAAGCTTGTGCCTGCTATTTATAAGATTTCCCTTTCTATGTCTGTGTGTGTGTGTGCGGGTGTGTGTATTCATGCGTGCGTGCGCCAAAAAGGATCAAGAGACCAGCTACACTATCATCAAATCCAAGGAAACGAAAATTGCCGCAGATGGACTGAAACCTGCTTCAGCATATGTCTTCCAGATCCGAGCACGGACCGCAGCAGGGTACGGCAGCTTCAGCCGAAGATTTGAGTTTGAAACCAGCCCAGTGTGTAAGTCATTTTAATTACTGTCTGCCCATGTCTCTGTAATGGTTAATAGGAAAGAGTCAGCAGATCGATATCTTTGCAGGGGACACGTCAGCCTCCATCTCCTCCCTCTCCTCTCCCTGTCTCGCCGGAGCCCTTTGTGGCCTTGTGTGTTCAGACGCATCATTCATAAGCGTGGTGAGGGAGGGAAAGCTCAGCACATATTTCATTGGCTTGTTTCTCCTCCAGAATTTCAAACTTAAATCTTCTCTGAAGTTTGAGTGCTAAAGAACCTCTTCTTTTATCATCACCCTCTCCCCCAATACAATGGTGCCTCGGGTTACATACGCTTCAGGTTACAGACTCTGCTAACCCAGAAATAGTGCTTCAGGTTAAGAACTTTGCTTCAGGATGAGAACAGAAATCGTGCTCCGCCGGCGCAGCGGCAGCAGGAGGCCCCCTTAGCTAAAGTGGTGCTTCAGGTTAAGAACAGTTTCAGGTTAAGAACGGACCTCTGGAATGAATTAAGTACTTAACCCGAGGTACCACTGTATATCCTGAAATGTAACAATCTTCTCACGCATTGTTCAGGTCCTTTAAAATAAAAGAAAAACAACCTCTGGAATGGTAATAGGTTGGCTATACATCTGAAGAAAGCAAGTACCATACTGCCACAAGCCAGGCTCCATGCACCCTGTGCTAAAACCATGGTGGACAAACAGAACTTCAAATCTTCCACAGGTCATGTGGCAGAAAACCTGAGTCCTCTCGACTGTCTGATTCAATTGTTCCTATATGAAGCATGCATTTTATCTCATTCACACATTATATTTTTAGGGCACATGGTGTTGTCATTTTTTAAGAAAATGTGCAAATATTTGGTGTACATTTGGTGAAGCTATCCTAAAGGGCGATAGCTCATTGGCAGAACAAATGCTTTGCAGACAGAAGGTCCTGGGTTCCTTCCTCAGTATCCTAAAGTAGGGCTGAAAAGACTCCTGGCAGGAACCATAGACAGTTTCTGCCAGTCACTGTAAACCGTGGGTAGGCAAACTAAGGCCCGGGGGCTGGATCTGGCCCAATCACCTTCTAAATCCAGCCTGCGGACGGTCCGGGAATCAATGTTTTTTTACATGAGTAGAATGTGTCCTTTTATTTAAAATGAATCTCTGGGTTATTTGTGGGGCATAGGAATTTGTTCATCCCCCCCCCCAAATATAGTCTGGCCCCCTACAAGGTCTGAGGGACAGTGGACCGGCCCCCTGCTGAAAAAAATTGCTGACCCCTGCAACAATACAGAGCAGGTTGGTTCAATGGTTGACTCAGTAGGTGGCTACTTCCTGTGTTCCTCAAAGATTCTTGAATCAGGGTATAATGGTGGCAAGGAAATATACTGGCTGATCTCAGTACTGAGTTGTGGGAAGAGACTAATCTTGGACATTCCTAAGAGGAGCACTTCCAAGTGAACAGCTTTTTAACTGCTCTCCAAATGGGTTGTGTGTGCGTGTGTTTTTTAAAGGATTGTTATCTTAATTACTCCGAGAACATCTTGCATGGGTAACCAAAAAAGCCACCCACCGAAGACGTTTTTACTACATTGGTCCTTGAATTTACAGCCATTTAAACATCTGAAAATGTAGGCTGCTTTCGCTAAGAGCGGATCTACACTACAGACCTTTAGATTAGGTTTTTACTAGCTTAACTGTCATGGCTTCCCCCCTCAAAATGAACAAAAACATTGGAACCTCATTTTGGAACTCCAGGAGTTTACATGTTGTTGTTTTTCCCCTGGGGGAGAAAACAATTACCAGTTTAGATCTGTAATGTAGATATGCTCTGAATCTCTCTATCTGGTTCCCCTTGTATCCAAGCACTTTTGGTTGTTCAGAGTCACCCTTCAGACCACAACTGATGACCTTTAAATGTTTTGTTCGACTAGAAGAAAGGGAAGATTGAATGGAATCTTTTGTTCTGCAGTTGGATTAAGGAGGAAAGATAGCATGTTACTGTTGACATATCTATTTACTACAAAGGAGGTGTGAAATCTGGGGAAAGGTCTCACCAATGGCTAATGAGCTTGTTTGATTTAGCGAAATAGTTCTGACTTCCAGAACACAGCTGGAGCTTTTGAAAGATGCAAGAGAGATCATGCTCTGCAGCTTTTTCCAAGGAGTTGATGGTTTTTCTCGGTTTTCTGTTGGTAAAAAATATTAAATAAATAAAGGCTTCATCCTTCTAGTTGAAAATAATGTGTTGTCAAACTGGTTTCTACTCATGGCATGTTGTGAGAGAATTACAACTCAGTACAGTGGTACCTCAGGTTACATACGCTTCAGGTTACATACGCTTCAGGTTACATACTCTGCTAACCCAGAAATAGTACCTCGGGTTAAGAACTTTGCTTCAGGGTGAGAACAGAAATCTTGCTCCGGCGGCGCGGCAGAAGCAGGAGGCCCCATTAGCTAAAGTGATGTTCAGGTTAAGAACAGTTTCAGGTTAAGTACGGACCTCCGGAACGAATTAAGTACTTAACCCGAGATACCACTGTATAGACCTGGAGGCTGTGTTTCCACTTGTTCAAGCATGGAATCCAGTTTCTGGTGTGAATTGTGTTAAAAGGTGTTTCTGGTAGTAATATTTTGAGAAGTGTGAATATGGCCAGAATTCAGAGAACTATGCATCTTATTCCAAAGAGATTTCCAGGCCCTGGTTTTTCTAGCAGAAGTACCTTCATGACAGAGGGGAAAGCTGCTTTCCAAAGGGGAGTTGCAAAAGCAGTTTGCACTAGACTGCTATAGCATTGGGGAAGTAAGAAATACTCAGAAATTCTGCTTGCTTACTTCAGTTCAAGCCTCTTGCCTAAGCAACTCTTAGATCCTAGACCACATGCTAGATTTGTTTGCCCGTGTCAATGATAGCCAGCTTTTCGAACCATAATTTGACTAGGAAAAAATGGCATCATATCTTGTCTTTGAAAGGAGACAAGCAGAAACATACCTATTCCATCCATTGTTGGGGGGTTGATTTATTGGTCCTTTATTTGGGTTGTTGGCTGTTGATGCTATTTCGAGTGAGGCTTTATTGCGGAGGCAAAACTTTAACAGATAGGGAAAAACATTCCAGCTTCAATCCTGGGCACCTCCAGTTAAAGTCCTCAAGAAAGACCTCCAACCATAAATGCAAGGGGCAGCCTTTGCTGTTCAGAGCAACTTGATGAGATGGAGATAATATCTGACTCAGTGTAACGCAACTTGATATGCTGATATATGTTTCACTTATGTTTGCTTCACATATATACCTCAAGAGTTTGAGGTATACAGGTTTTACATATGTGGTATATTATAGGCACAATTTAATTTTTCTGCATTCACATTTATTATTTTATACTGCTTTGGGTTGCATACAATTTCTGTAAATAAACTAAAGTGTTTCATTGCTGTCCTTCATTAGGGCAGAAAATTACATGTTATGAGGAAGGCTGGGTTGCTGCAGAAAACATCGTTATATTGTTGTCGTCACCCCCCTTCCTGTAACAGCTAGTAATAATTCTAATTTCTGTAACATCTAGTAATTCTGGCTCACAATTTGTCCAAAAAAAGCAACAACTAAAAGATTCCTCCTCACCCCGCAAGCAAACAGGTGCTGAAACAAAGTTTTGAGGAAACCAAGGCTGGGTTTTTGTGCATGTGGATGCCCTCTTGAGCTAGCATTGGAACTTGCAGTGGTGTTGTGGTCTAAACCACTGAGCCTCTTGGGCTTGGTGATCAGAAGGTTGACAGTTCAAATCCACACAACGGAGTGAGCTCCTGTTGCTCTGTCCAAGCTCCTGCCAACCTAGCAGTTCGAAAGCATGCCTGTGCAAGTAGATAAATAGGTACCGCTGTGGTGAGAAGGTAAACGGCATTTCCATGCACTCTGGTTTCCATCATGGTGTTCCGTTGCACAAGAAGCAGATTATTCATACTGGCCACTTGACCCGGAAAGCTGTCTGTTAACAAACGCCGGCTCCCTTGGCCTGAAAGCAAGATGAGCACCCCAACCCCATAATCGCCTTTGACTGGACTTAACCATCCAGGGATGCTTTACTTTTACTTTTACCTTACCTAGTAAATGAGGGTGACGCTGGGGTCTGAACCACAGAGCCCAGGGCTTGCCGATCAGAAGGTCAGCGGTTCAAATCCCCGCGACGGGGTGAGCTCCCGTTGCTCGGTCCCTGCTCCTGCCAACCTAGCAGTTTGAAAGCCGTCATAGTGCAAGTAGATAAATAGGTACCCCAGTGGGAAGGTAAACGGTGTTTCCATGTGCTGCTCTGGTTTCAGTGTTCTGTTGCGCCAGAGGCGGCTCAGTCATGCTGGCCACATGAACCGAAAGCTGTCTGCGGTCAAACGCCGGCTCCCTTGGCCAGTAAGGCTAGATGAGCGCCGCAACCCCAGAGTCATCCGCGACTGGACTTTACGGTCAGGGGTCTCTTTACCTTTACCTACCTAGTAAAAATAATTAAGAAGAGTCCTCAAGCCTTAAATCTTCCACTCCTTATTTAGCACATCTTACCCTGTGTCTTGAAGACATTCTGGTGTGCATTCCCACCCCACTGACAGCAGCCAGTTAACATGGGGTGGGAGTGAGGAACGTTCATTTTTAGGACAACAAGACCACAGAGTAAGATATACAGTATTGCATCAGGCACAGGCAGACTAAAGACTTGAAGACTTGAAGTCACTATAATGAATAAAAATGTCCACTCTTTAGCCTATTGGCTTGGTTAAATTTCACTCGCCACTAATATTTATGCATTCGTGCCTGTTTAAAATTGTACAATTGACATGTTTATTACATTTCCATATAATTTCAATTAAGGAAATATTTAGTGACAGGGAGAAAAATCCCTTCATTTCCCTTTTGAATAGAAATCCACTCTCTCCATTTGTTTTCTAAATTTAAATTTGCCAGCCTTTGATTGTTTGTCTTGAGCTCTTATAATCTGCTCTCTCTCTCTTTTAATGCTGTCAGTTTTCTCATTTTCATTGCATGTTACCTTTTTAAAATGAAATAGATTTTAAAGGAAAGGGAGACAAGAGCTATGGAGTCAATGAGCAAGCTATTAATAGAGAAAAGAGCTCCATGATGCAAACATTAATGTAATAAAAATGATCTATTTAATGTATTTTATATTGCATTAACCATTAATCATGTCCTATAAGTAGAAACAAAACCTTATTATAGTGCCAGATAAATCTCTTATTGTGAATCTTGGATACAGTAGAAAAGTTTCTAATTCAGAGTAATTCAGTAATCGTGTTTCAGGTTATTTATAAGTAACCTGCTGGCATTTTGACACCATTGGTCTATTGCCATCCTGACCTTAAACTTCTGAGCAGAAATACCCATAATAATGTTATAAAGGTCTACCATGTAAATCAGAAACATCGCCTAGATTATTTTTTTATGGGAACAGCCAATTCTAATGAAATCTGTCTAAAGCTTCAATCCTATAATCACTTACCTGGGAATAAAGCCCTTGGAACACAGTGGAACTTATTTCTGAGTAGACACGCATAGGACTGCCTAGTCAAAATGCTGTTCAGTTATTAATGAACTGACTTTAGAAAACTCTCAGAAACAAGTAAATGCTGTAACAGTTACTAAATTGAATTGCTGCTGGATTTCTCTTCACTGGGAAAGAATTCTAGTTAGAGCAGAATGTTTTCTTGGGAATCAGAGAGTGGAGTAGAATCTGAAGTGGGATTTTTGAGGGCTCCCCATCACAGCGAAACTTGTTGATAACTGCCTCTTCTGTCTCTAAATCTGCAGCACTAATTAGAACTTCAATGGACAGTTTGCAATGTATCTGTGTCCGTCCAATCGTTACGAAAGCATAACTATCGACTATCATTTAGTTCCATGCTGCTCAACTGGTGATTTTACTGTTTCATTTTTCACATCACACTAAGCCAAAGAATGGCTTGCCACAAATGCGTGAGTTCTGGGAGAGGAGATAGTGACTTAGCGCTACCTGGGGCTAAGCCATAGTTTGGCTGAGTGTGTCTCCCCAAGCCCGACTCATGGTTTGTCTCACTCCAGACAAACCACAAGTGGTAAATCAAGAGCAGACCTTAGTTATAGCTCATGGTTAGTCTGGAGCAAGACAAGCCACAAGCCCAGGTTTGGACAGCATTCTAAGTCAAACCATAGCTTAACTTGGGGTAGTGTGCCAGCAGGAGGATTGGGGGAGGAGCGCAGTGGTCTCATTTCTGGGAACCTCCACATTCACACAAAACCATGGTTTCGCTTAGTATAAGGTCACCAGATTTTTTTCTCAATGAATCCGGGGGCACTTTAAATAAATAAATAAATACTACACATTCTGGACACTGATGCTGCAGCAATGGCGGTGGCAGAGGGGCAGCTGCCGCCTTGACCTCAACAACCACGTTTCCCCTTCCTCAGAGGCTTCTATCTCCTTTCTCCATGAACCTGGGCAGCCCCTGAGTTCTTGGTTCTTCAGTGGTGGTGGTGGTGAAGTGGTGTGCTGTGGGTCAGGCATGGAAGGCAGAGAAGGAGGGCCGAGAGTGGTGGTGAGGCTCAGGCAGCACGATGCCTCCTTTCCAATCGGAGCAGCCCCAATCCCATTCCTACTTGTGTGCAAGCAGGAGGGTGCAGGGATCCTACAGCTGGGAAGCGAGGCTTCACACTGCCTTTTGGAGCAGCCCCATTCCAACTCCTACTTCTGTGTAAGCAGGACGTGGTGGGGATCCCTCAGCTGAGAAGGGAGGCTTCCCGTTGCCTAACTGAGAGATTCCTGCCCCCTCCTGCTTGCATGCAAGCTCAGATAGACAGCATGGAGCCTCCCTTCACGGCTGAGAGATCCCTGCCCTGCTCCTGTTTGCACGCAAGTAGGAGTTGGGAGGCTGCTCCGATAGGCAGCATGAAGCCTCCCTTCACATCTTATTGCTGGGGTCAGGGAAGGTGGAGGCAGCCCGGAAGCTGCCTCTTAGAGCTCCTGCACCACCATCATATGGGGACTTCCAAGTAGCTCCTGAAGCCAGCCAGAGTCAACTGCTCCGGGCTGCTGAGACTGCCGCGTTTCCCGGGGACATTAGATGAAATCCAGGGACATTCCAGGGATGGAATTTGACCAGGGACTTATTCGCAAATCCGGGGACTGTCCACGGGAAATGGGGACGTCTGGTAACCCTAGCTTAGTATTACATGCAAATCAGGTCTCTGTGTGAACAAAACCTAAAGTTTGAACAAATGGAGTTTGAACTTTATAGTTTGAACAAACGGAGTTGTCATCAAACTTCATCTGAAGTTCAATTTCCAGGCAATTTATGAAGTTCCTGCATTGAGGGGAACACACAAAGAGTTGCGTTACAAAGTTTATCTGGGAAGCAAGGCAGCGTCCACACACCTCCAAAACAGGCGAAATACAACTTGCACAAAATCAGTTCCTTGACCTCCGCAGGCTTGCTAAAACTAAAAACACAGGTTTGTCATTATTTTCTTTCCAAAATAACAAAGTGACAAAAAACCAGACATGCTAGAGAATTATTTAAGCCACAGCTCCTCTCTATCAGGCTTGAAGCAGGGCCCTTCCTGGAGGTCGATGGCAGTTTTAACCTTAATCTCCCTTTTTGTCTCTTCTCTCAGCAGTAGCCGCATCCAGCGATCAGAGCCAGATCCCTATAATTGCTGTGTCTGTTACAGTGGGAGTGATCCTCTTGGCTGTTGTTATTGGTTTCCTTCTCAGCGGAAGGTAAGAGGCAAAAGCTTGTGTTTTTGTGCTTCTCAACACTTTTTTCCTCTGTATTTCCACCCTCCACTGACCTCCCCTTTTACTTCAATCTAGCCAGCTGTATTTGCAGCACGTTTCTTCACAAACTAGAGAACATGGAAGCACTGTAGTCTATTAAACATGGGGTGATATTCTCAGGGGTGGAGGAAGGGGGTGCGGTGGGGCAGGTCTCCCTGAGTGTCACCACTGAGGGGGTGACAAAATGCCGGGCAGTACTCACCGGGGCCTGCAGGTGCCCTGAGCCACACGTTCTCTCCTGGGAGTGACGTGGTGGCTTGGGTGCCTGCAGGCTCCACGCTGCCCCAAACAGTCCGCCCGTCGCCTCCCCCTCATCTGTAGGGCAGCTGAGTGGGAAGAGGCAGGCAGACTCCTCGGAGACCCCATGGAGCGTCCTGCCCTGGCTCGCCCTGCCCCACGGGTGGCTGGCCCCGCCCCTAGCGCAGGGCACATGCACCACCCCAGACGCCCAATCAGCTTGCTCCACCGCTGATATTCTCTCTGCAAAGAGAGCTTCACCTATGCTTCCCTAGGATGCTTGTCTCTAGGGTTCAGAATGCCATGGCAAGACTCTTTACGGGGTCTCTGCCATGGGATCACATTCATCCAGTGCTTTTCCAGCTGCACTGGTTCCCAGTAGAGTACAGGGTCAGGTTTAAGGTGCTGGTTTTGACCTTTAAAGCCCTATGCAACCTAGGACCCTCGTACCTACAGGACAGCCTCTCCTGATATGCCCCACAGAGGACATAAATAACAACACTTTGGAAGTCCTGAGCCCAAGGATGTTAGATTGGCCTCAACCAGGGCCAGGGCCTTTTCAGCTCTGGCCCCAGCCTGGTGGAACTCCCTACCACAGGACATCAGGGCCCTGTGGGATTTGATAGCTTTCCACAGGCAAGACAGAGCTGGCCTTTCGGGTGGACTCAGTCTGACCCCCACCTATTTTATTTTTTGATGGAACCCCTTATATGGGATTTGTATATAAATTTTCCCTTGGCTCTTTTTGCTGGTCCATGTAGGACCAGCACGCATAGTTGGCCCCGGTGAATATTTGACATTTTCTCCCCTTAAGGCTTTGATCTATAGGCTACCACTAAAACGAGGCTGCATTTTAAGCTGTATTCTAACTTATATTTTAATCAACTGTTTGGTTTTTAAAAAAATGTTTTTGCTGTATTTATATTCAATGTTAGCCACCCTGAGGTCTTGGTCAGGGAAGGCGGGGTATAAATTAAAAAATATTACTGTTATTATTATACAGAGGTGAGCACCTATTTTACTTTGCCTAGTCAGCAGAATGGCAATCTGCTCTCTGCACTATGGGCAAAATGTGGCCCCGACTCCCCATCAACTCATCAGGAAAACCTTACTGTAGGTCTGGATTCATGTATGGTTGCTATTGCACAGGAAGCTCTCGTCATATTGAGTTGAGCCATGGGGGACGAGGGAGGGAGATGAGAATCGGAAAAAGACCATAGCTGATCCATCTTTCATTGTGCTGCAGGAGGGCAGAGGGAGGGAGGGAGCGGAGCGCGAGCCAACAGCTCTCCTTGTGTAGGTGAGAACACGGCAGCCAACACTTTCTACAGGGTCCTGCTGTGAACCTGTCCTCCTTGTGCTAATTTTGCTCTTCCGGTGAGTGTCTCTATGATAGCCTGCTCAAGAGTGGATTTTTGGTAATACGGTGCCCTGTGTAAGACCAAAAATGGCCCCCTCCCACCCCCAAAATAGTTCTAACTTTGAGTAGGTACCCATGTAAATACAGGTTGTTGTTATTGTTGCTATCTTGCACCCCCTTGACTCGGTGCCCCGTGCAGGGGAACTGCCCACACCACCCTAAATCCAGCGCTGGTCTGCTTCTCCTGAACTGTGATGGGACAGAAAAAAGGGTTGCAATGTAATGTTGGTTCTTACTCCACCCACCATCAACTTTGGCTCCACCACCATTGGCTCTAATCTCACTTACTTTTCCTGTGGGTCACTGGCCCTTCATAGAAAGGTTTCCCCCATACCTGGTTTAAACAAGCCACAGTTCTACGCATTTGGACATGACAGGGAAGTGTGGTTTGTTTCAAAGTGACTTCCAATCCAAAAGAATAAGAGAGGGGGGACACATGCTTGGAGCTCACCAAAGCTTGTTCATGTCACAGGAAACCGTGGTTTCGCATGACATCTGAACCATGCCTTTTTGAGTGACGATGGCTCTGGGATGCTCAAAACTGTTAAGAATCCACATTCACTGTTCCTAAAAAGCCCTTCAGCATTATTTGGCTTCTGCGGTAGCTTTCCTTCATGAATTTCAAAACTTGGCTGGTGCTTTGAGTGGCTCTTCACAATCCAAACTAAAACAGATTTTTTTTTTTAAAAAAAGAACCAACCTCCAGCTTTTCCAGCTAGCAGCCAATTTGGGAATGAAAGCAAAGGGAAGCTGATTTAAGAGGCAGAAATTATTTTAGCCCTGCTGTGTTTGTCTTGGATATGATTTTGAACGAATTCGTGGAGTGTCTTAACATGCTGTGGCATTACAAGGTGGTTGTGTTTTTTTATGCATTCCAAGCCAAGCTAAAGCCATTTTCTAGATTCTGCTAATCATTTTGTGGGCATATTTTGAGCCCAGACGAGTGCTTAGCAGACATCATGGGGTTCAAGTTCTTTGTAATTATTTCTAGCAAGTATCAACACTTGGCTACAGCATCGCTGGGCTCAAGCACAGCCGCAGCAGGGAGTTGCCGCTCCTTATCTATGAGTTTTTGGTCTGGGCGAGGAAAGACCAATTTGCTGGAAACCCAGGCACAGGGGTAAATGGCTGCTCCGCTTACTGTGTCCTGCTATATGGGATGATCTGATTCAGAGTGGAAGCAAACATTGCACACCAATGCATGCAATTAAAACCCTCACAGCTACTTTCTTCATTTTTGGAAATTGCTTCAGATGGGAGGCAGATTATATTGGGGTGGGGAGCAGGGTTATGAAGTATTCCCAAACTCTGGTGGGGGACACAGTGCACTCCTTCTGGGGCATAGTGTCCAGCTTTGGTCCTCGCCCTGCACTCAGCTCTCACCCGTGGCTCCCAGAAATTGTCAGCATGAAACAGCGGCCACACCCTGGGAATGGATTTGACTGGCTGGCTAAACCAGGTAAGGGTAGCTGAACGGTCTCAAACCTTCAGTTAATTAGGGGCTTCACCTGCATGCAAACACAGGCTCTGGCAGATTGAGCAGACAAGACCAAGGGTGGGTCCAATGGTTAAGAAGGCAGTTGTAGTCGAGTAAGATTGTCTTCCATGAACACAGTTTTAACAGTGAGTCCGTAAGTGACTGTGGAGACCAAGTCTGGATCCACACGTCCTTCCACAGTGGGGACATAGGTTTCTGGGCAGGAGTTGATCACGGTGAGGGTTTGCCAAGCGTGCCTTCCTCTTAGCACGTTTCTCTCTTTTGTCCTGAGTTTGAGTGTCATCAAAGCCCCTTGGTAAAGGCTGTTCTCCAACTGGAGCACTCGCAGGCCAGTGTTTCCCAGTTCTCGGTGTTTATACTACATTTTTTTAGATTTGCCTTGAGAGAGTCTTTAAACCTCTTTTGTTGACCACCAGCATTATGCTTTCCATTTTAAAGTTCGGAATAGAGTAGTTGCTTTGGAAGATGATAATCAGGCACAACATGACCAGTCCAACGAAGTTGAAGTTGAAGAATCATTGCTTCTTGTGCTTATACTTGGTTTTGGCCTCACAGAAGGCAGTACTGGTCTAAACAGACCATTGGCTCAGTATACGTGTATAAGACTTGGTGGTGGCATAAACCATCCAATGGCTACTCTAAAGTGTTGACACTTCATTCCGTTTGTCAGCTACAACTACAATCTTTCTGTTTGTTTTTTCTTAAGTGTCACAAATAGCAGGTTGGCATTCTGATGCCCTATGGCAGTGTTTCCCAACCTTGTGCCTCCAGATGTTTTTGGCCTACAACTCCCATCATCCCTGACTAGCAAGACCAGTGGCAAGGGATGATGGGAATTGTAGGCCAAAAACAGCTGGAGGCACAAGGTTGGGAAACACTGCCCTATGGTACCATAGGATACCTGAGTCCACTGGCAACAGTCCTCTACAACCAAAGGTCAGGCAAGCATTAGTCACAGTGGTACTGTGGAAATGCATTAGTTTCTGAAAGTTTATGGATGCCTGGAGAATTTGAAATTAGCCCTGTTTTGTCCTGAACAATCAAGCTGCATTTTAGACCTCATTTTCTTGCATCTATTCTAAACTCCCTTGTTAAATAACGTGCCTTCTGATCGAGGTCAAATAGCTGTTAAGCAAAATATTGATGGACGCTTTAATCATATGTTCGTTCCTTTTCTAAGAACACAAAACAACATTTTTTTTACTGTCTGAAAAGGAATTATTCTGGAAGATTAAAATAAGAGGTCATTAGAAGGCTTTGGGGTTGCAGTTGTTTTGTGAAACCCGACTGTTTGCTTGTTTTTATTAGACAAGCAGCAATGTTTGTGGCACTTTTGCAAAGTGACATAAAGACACACACACAAAGAAACAAAAAACACACGCATGGTCCTTGCTTGATGGAGCTAGCATTCTAAATTTCAGTAGCAGAAGGGGAAAACAGGTTGAAAGGGTTGTTAGATAAACAAGGGCAAATGCAGTTGCGTGCTGAGGTCCCTCAAAACACCCCTACCCCAATAACTCACACATCACTCATAATTTTTTTGTTTAAGGTTTTTGGCATAATTTTGGCCACAACTTTATTAAACATACAAATTGTGAGTGGTTGCTTAGGCATTGGTTATGACTATCTGTCCCTCCCCCGCCTTGGGGGACAGCACTGACTCCCGGATTCCAGCAAAAGCCAGTGTGGAGGAACAAGATCAGGGATAACTGGAGCTGCGGCACAGACCCTCAGCTTCTCCCCGCATGCTCCCAGGGGCTTACGCGGCCCAAACCCGATTCCAGGGGTTTGGACGAAAGGATGGTAAGCCCCTGAATTCCTTTAACGGAATTCCCGTGCAGCAGCAGCATTGGAGGGGCAGGCACAGCCAATCCATACCCCTCCACCAACCAATTTAAACCAATGCCTAACCGCCAACCTTACAAGTTGTGACGATTTGCTACGCAGTAGGCAAAAACCAATTGGCACACATGCAGATGACACAACCTTGATGGTAGAAAGTGAGGAGGAATTAAAGAACCTTTTAATGAGGGTGAAAGAGGAGAGCGCAAAATATGGTCTGAAGCTCAACATCAAAAAAACGAAGATCATGGCCACTGGTCCCATCACCTCCTGGCAAATAGAAGGGGAAGAAATGGAGGCAGTGAGAGATTTTACTTTCTTGGGCTCCATGATCACTGCAGATGGTGACAGCAGCCACGAAATTAAAAGACGCCTGTTTCTTGGGAGAAGGGCAATGACAGGCCTAGACAGCATCTTGAGAAGTAGAGACGTCACCTTGCCAACAAAGGTCCGTATAGTTAAAGCCATGGTTTTCCCAGTAGTGATGTATGGAAGTGAGAGCTGGACCATAAAGGCTTGATGCTTTTGAATTATGGTGCTGGAGGAGACTCTTGAGAGTCCCATGGACTGCAAGAAGATCAAACCTCTCCATTCTGAAGGAAATCAGCCATGAGTGCTCACTGGAAGGACAGATCGTGAAGCTGAGGCTCCAGTACTTTGGCCACCTCATGAGAAGAGAAGACTCCCTGGAGTAGACACTGGTGCTGGGAAAGATGGAGGGCACAAGGAGAAGGGGGCGACAGAGGACGAGATGGTTGGATAGTGTTTTCGAGGTTACCAGCATGAGTTTGACCAAACTGTGGGAGGTAGTGGAGGACAGAGGTGCCTGGCGTGCTCTGGTCCATGGGGTCACCACGAAGAGTCAGACATTTAGAAGACATCTGAAGGCAGCCCTGTTTAGGGAAGTTTTTAATTACTGATGTTTTAATCTATTTTTAATCTTTTGTTGGAAGTGGCACAGGGTGGCTTGGGAAACTCAGCCAGATGGGCAGGGTATAAATAATATATTATTATTATTATTATTATTATTATTATTATTATTATTATTATTATTATTATTGAGGCAAGCAAGGAAGCACTATTTAAGTAACTAAGCTAGCCCATTTGGGGTTGCGGTGCCCATCTCACTTTATTGGCTGAGGGAGCTTCCAGGTCATGACAGCTTCCGGGTCATGTGGCCAGCAGGACTAAGCTGCTTCTGGCGAACCAGAGCAGCGCACGGAAACACCGTTTACCTTCCCGCCAGAGCGGTACCTATTTATCTACTTGCACTTTGATGTGCTTTCGAACTGCTAGGTTGGCAGGAGCTGGGACCGAGCAACGGGAGCTCACTCCGTCGTGGGGATTCGAACCGCCGACCTTCTGATCAGCAAGTCCTAGGCTCTGTGGTTTAACCCACAGTGCCACCCGCGTCCCACTCCCAAACTAGGGTCATCCAATGACGATGAATATTGGAAGATTCAGGCAAAATAAAGCACTTCTTCACAAGTCGTGTAGTGAAAATAAATGGAATTTCCTTCCACAATATGTAGTGATGGTTGGCAGTTTGGACGGCCTTTAAAGGAGATTAGACAAATTCATGGAGGATGGAGGCTGTCAATGGCTACTGGCCATTGTTGTACCGCCAGTATTGTCAGTGCTATGCCTCTGAGACACGTGAATGGGGAACATGCAGTTGTTTTCAGTACCTTCTTGCAGACTTCCCAAAGTCCTCTGGCAGGCCATTGTGAGAACAGTATGCTAGTTAAGGTGGTCTCTGATCCAGCAGGGCTGTAACGCTCTAGGCTGCATTGTCTTTGGACAGCAGTCGATGAAAGTTGACTTGCATGTAGTAAACCAGCCAGGGGCGCCAACTTATAAAAAATATTGGGGGGGCCCATACCGACTTATAAAAAATATTGGGGGGGCCCAAGACCTCCAAACCGCTGCTGCTGGGGGAACGAAAGGGGCGAGCCCCGGGCTGCCCTGACCTTAAGTGAACCTGTGAGGGCCCGCCCTTTGCGGCAGCCGATTGGCTGCCGCCGTGGGCGGTGAATATTAATGAGCTAGGGGGAATCCCCGCTTCTTGCGGGGCTGACGCCAGCCCCGCGAGATTGTTGATGGGTCGAGAGCCCGCAACCCCACCCCCTCTCTAGATCGGGAGTGGCTTTGTTTTAACTCATTACTGAATGTATCTTAAAAGGTAACTATCGTCAAACAAGGAAAATAAAAAATACCAACATAATTTTGTGATTTTACAAAGCATAATATAACTAATAATTTTCTTAAATTATTGGGGGGGCAGAGCCCCCCCAAACGAATTTTTGAGGAGGCTCGGGCCCCCTCAGGCCCCATGGAGTCGGCGCCTATGAAACCAGCACCTCAGGGAAAGAGGTATGCTAAACCCGTCTCTCTGGTGGGAGTGTTTTTGTTTGTTTCAAGTGTGCAAAGTGTTCAGAAACCTGGGGTGCTTATTATTATTATTATTATTATTATTATTATTATTATTATTATACTTCTCTGAACTGGATTCTCGTCTTATAAGCACATCGGTAAACAGCTCACAGCCGCCCAATGCAGGCCTTTATCATCCATTACCATACTATATGAATCATTTTCTAGTGTAGTCTTGTAAAAACCAGTTACGTTGGGTTGTGTGCATGCCTCATGCCATCCCTTCACCAATAAGATTTGTCATTCTCCCATCAGCCCATTTTCTCTCTTATAAATTTGTTAGAGGAACACTTTTACAGCCTCAGTTTTACGATGCATGCCATAAATATTTCACTAGGTGATTGCCAGTGTGAAAGTAGGTTTGTTACCAGATAAAATGCCACAGGAATATTTAGAATGGAAATGCCACTCTTCTGTTTTACATTTATTGAACAACATTGACCTGTGTCCTAGGCCTCATTTTTTCCTTCCAGTATGATGGGAATAAGAGGCATAAATTTTCAGGGGAATAAGTCGTTTCCAAGGTATGGAAAAGATCAGCCAACTGCAATGCCACATCTGATGTGTTTTTATCAGCTGAAGAACTCATTCAGTTTATTTTAGATAAACCAAGCCTTAATGCTTGATACGTTCTGCAGTGACTGATATAGTACACTTAAATCTTGGCATTTGGTAATACAGCAATAGGCATAAATGTTCCCTTGTAGGGTGATTTTATTTCCTGAAGTGTGCATAAAACAAATAGGAAGGCTTGTCTCCATCCTTTAGATTACATTTCTTGCCACTGACAATATAAAGGAATGGCTGCGTTAACAAGCCTCTGCTTCTAAAAAAACACTTTACTAATCAGTTATTAGGATCAAACAAGGCTGTTTCAAGAATTCTTGGTCCCCTTTAAGGAGGGCTATTGAGACCCCAAATCCTACCAGGATTTTCCTGTATCCTCTTTCTTTTTCTGAATTAAAAGGTGGATGTGGATAGCAGATCCCGCAGGACCCCAAGTACAGATGATGCCAATATTTTATCTAGTATTTTATCTAGCCCTTTTTTCTTTTTCCAAGACAAGAGTTGAATAGGGCATGCCTCGTATCCAGTTGAAAAATGTTGGTACAAACAGGGCATCTTTGCATTCCTTATTTGATAATTTGCCTATTGTGTGATGATTTCGGTGAGAAGCTTCCTTACACCATGCCATCAATCTTGTTCAATAACAGGAGGTGTGGCTACAGCAAAGCAAAACAGGACCCCGAAGAGGAAAAGATGCATTTTCATAATGGTCACAGTGAGTAAAGTTCAGATAATACGCTAGAGAATTGCACTGCTTTCTAGTATTTTTATCTTGTTGTGGTGTAATACATAGCATTATGGTTCTATACTGTTTAGGGGGTAGGCAGAAGCAATGGGCTCACTTTCTCTGACTTTTGGTAGAAAGTGGAAAGGGTTTATTCCACTTTGCCAAGATGGCAAAATAGGTAGAACATGAGACTCTTAATATCAGGGCCGTGGGTTCGATTCCCACACTGGGCAAAAAAATTCCTGCATTGCAGAGGGGTTGGAGTATATGACTGTTGTGGACCCTTCCAGCTGTACAATTCCATGATTCTGCAATTCATTCCAGTTTGGTAAAGAGAAGATGACAGAATCGTACCCCTTGCTAGATCCAGTCCTACAGAGTGTGCGTCTAGCACAGGCGAGAGGGCTGCATTAGCTTCACACTCTTCAAGGCAAGAGTGCAGGGAATAAAACTACACATCTGCATTGTAGGCCTCCTCTTATTTCCAAAGCAGCACTGCTGTTCCAGAAATGCTTCATGCCAAAGCTGTGGAGTTTGCTCCAGGTGGAATTCTGCCCCAGCAAATGGGCTAAATATCCTAAATAATTCAATTAACATTTTTACAGTGTTGCAGATATACTGGGAACGGCAGGCATGACCCTCAAGTTTATTTAAAACAAAAACAAAAAAATGGCTAAAATAATTTGATATCGAAAGTGTTTCCTATTAGAAAGCTCCCAGGTGAGAGCTGGGAGGTAGTGTGAGATTTAAGCTTCGAGAGAGGCCTCTGTGTTTTCTTTGTTCTTTCTCTGTTCATGTTTTCATTTCAATTAGTTTCTTTAATCTTATTGTATTATGAAAAAGATTTCATAAAATCTTTTTTCTTTTTTAAGTATTTCCTATTAGATGGAAATGGTTAGAGATTAAAGAGCAGCTCCAAGATCTGATTAAAAAGCAGCTCCGGAGTCTCTTGTTTTGCGTCTTGAGGCCCCAAGGCAGCCCCCCATGAAATAACTACACATGGACATAGAATCAAGGTTGATGGGTAACATTAAGGCCACAACTTTATTGATTGCAAATTAAATGTGAGTGGTATTGGCATAGGAATTGGCTGAAGACTATAACGGACTACTGCCCCAGTTGACAGAGCCTATGTAGGTAAACCCATCAGGGCAGCAACATCAGGGTTTTGCCCAACAGAAGCTTACCACGAGGTTCCTGTGATCCCGGCATGGCCCTAGCCCATCAAGCGGATTTCCAACAAGATCCAGGACCCATAGATTCCTTTAACGGAATACCTTTTGATCATTGAGGTGATGACCACACCTCCCCTCCACACACAAAATGAAGCCAATGCCTAACCGCCAAACCTGGAAAGTTGTGACGATTGCTAAGGGGGTAGGCAAAAAAACCAAGTGGCCAGTGCCAATTTGCCAAATGGATAAAAATTCCTACCCAGCCCCTGTCCCAAGACAGGTGACTCACACATAGCAAGGCTGAGAACCTACACTAAGGACGGGAGGGCGGGTGTTCAGCAGCGCCAATCAAGTGCCTAGGGCACTCTTGCGCTGATGCTTATATAATTCCTTAACCACCCCCACCCCTTTCCTGATTGGCTGTGACCTGTGATGCCTATTTAGAGAAATGAAACTTAGACCTAGAAAGGAAACCTACCGTAGATTCCGGTGTATAAGACGACTTTTTAACCCTGGAAAAGAGGTTAAAAAGTCGGGGGTCGTCTTATACACTGGGTATGGGTGGCACGGAGTGGAGCTCACCTCCTGCTGCAGCGGCGGCTCCGAAGTGGCGGCGGCGGGCTCCGCACTGCGCCAGGAGAAAGCCGCCCGCCGCGGAGCCTGCCTCCCACGCTGCTTCGGAAGCAGCAGCAGGGTGGCTTTCTCCTGGCACGGAGCTGCCCAGCATATTAGGCGACTGGGCCTATAAGACGAACCCTCAAATTGCAGCTAACAATTTGGGGGGTCGTCTACTACGCCCAGTCGCCTAATACACCGGAATCTATGGTACTTTGTCAGGGGTGTGTCCAGGGGCCCAGTTGCAAGAAGGACTGCCTTCTGAGGACGATCCCATTTCCAGCAGTGCTGTACTTACGAAAGAAAGAAAGAAAGAAAGAAAGAAAGAAAGAAAGAAAGAAAGAAATGGAGGCCTGCACTGCAGGTGTGTTGTACCTTGAAGCATGTGAAGCAGGGATCTTGGGCAGACCCCCCTTGTAACTATCCAAAATCTAGAGGAGTCATATTTTCTGCAACCTTTTTTCAATAATAGCACCTTTGTGACTTTGAACTTTATATTTAATTTTAAATCCGGTGGGGTTTGATAGCTAGGACTGCAACTCAGTTCAAGACATCTTAATGGGATAATCATATTAATTTAAGTTGAACTATCCGTTAAGATTGTGTGAATTCGTATAGGGAAAAGAAACAGTATTTCTGAAGCAAGCAGCATACTTACTTTGTTGCTGTTGTTTATGATGCATACATATATCACAGCAGACCTCATCTTAGAGAAAGGGAGCAATGTCTCTTTTAAAATGGCGCTTGCCACCTGCAATTTTTATGAACGTTGGTATTAAAAATACAACCCCTTTATTAAAAATATATACCCTACCCGATTAATCGTGGTTCCCTTCGGTCTATTAAAAGTTTTTTTAATAAATTAATCAAAGTGAGTAATAGATTAAATATTGCAGCCCTGGTGTGCACCAAATGTTTCTTAAGTAGCTCATAATGGTATCTTTCTGACAATGATATGCTGTGCTCACATACTCCGTTTTGTAATTAGTAAAATACATTTCCCTTTGCACTAGTGTTCCAGCTTGTTCAATTTTCAGTTCTGCTGCTCGCCAGTTCTTTTAACATATTAAACCCTTAATTTTATGCACAGTTAAATTACCAGGAGTGCGGACTTATATCGACCCACACACCTACGAAGACCCAAATCAAGCTGTCCATGAGTTTGCCAAGGAAATAGAAGCCTCGTGTATATCAATTGAAAGAGTTATTGGAGCTGGTAAGATTACCAATATCACCATTTACCCTTCACTCACGCTATTGCTGTAACATCAGGATTCCGCTTTTGCATTGCACGACCAGGTGGCGACCACCCCAGCCCCAGGCACCACCAGAAGGGAATAATGACTGGTGACAACATCTTATGGAATTAAAATTTGGCCACAACTTTATTAAACTTCCGAATATAGGAAGACCTTGGCTTAGGCCTTGGGCGTGTACCCCACCCCCAGTCCCCTTTCAGGGGAAACTGGGGCTCATCAGAGTAAATGGGATATGGGGGTGCTCTGCGAGATGTAAGTGTAGCAGGCAGCCCAGCCTATATCCCCACACGCAGGGAAGTTCACTGACGACCTTTCAGTGTATGGCCAGTGACACCCATATATAACCCCTTTAAGAGGGGGACCCTGGAATTGCCGCCATGGTGGGGGGGTTGAGTCACCACTTCACGCCCCCCATAGTGGGGTTACCAGATGTCCCCGTTTCCCAGGGACAGTCCCCAGATTTGCGAATAAGTCCCCAGACAAATTCCATCCCTGGAATGTCCCCGGATTTCATCTAATGTCCCTGGGGAACGCGGCAGTCTAAGCAGCCCGGAGCAGTTGGCTCTGGCTGGCTTCAGGAGCTACTTGGAAGTCCCCATATGATGGTGGTGCAGGAGCTCTAAGAGGCAGCTTCCGGGCTGCCTCCACCTTCCCTGACCCCAGCAACTAAGCTGTGAAGGGAGGCTTCATGCTGCCTATCGGAGCAGCCTCCCAACTCCTACTTGCGTACAAGCAGGAGCAGGGCAGGGATCTCTCAGCCGTGAAGGGAGGCTCCATGCTGTCTATCTGAGCTTGCATGCAAGCAGGAGGGGGCAGGAATCTCTCAGTTAGGCAACGGGAAGTTTCCCTTCCCAGCTGAGGGATCCCCGCCCCCTCCTGCTTGCACGCAAGTAAGTATGGGATTGGGGCTGCTCTGATGGGAAGGGAGGCACTGCGCTGCCTGAGAGATCCCTGCCCCCTCCTGCTTGCACACAAGTAGGAAGTTGGGGTGGGGCTGCTCCTCAACATGTAGTAATTTATTTGTTTGTTTGTTTGTTTGGGAACAGTGAATTCAAACAATTGGTCATACTGGGTTAACCAACCTCTTCATTGGTTATGCATTGTGTGATCGTCACACAAGAATGCCCAACCAATAACCGGGAATGCTAACTTGGGGTTTGTTTTGTTCACAGGTGAATTTGGCGAAGTATGTAGCGGGCGATTGAAACCACCCGGAAAGCGTGAGCTACCAGTAGCCATTAAAACCTTGAAAGTGGGCTACACGGAGAAGCAGAGGCGAGATTTCCTGGGAGAAGCCAGCATCATGGGGCAATTTGACCATCCCAATATAATTCACCTAGAAGGTGTCGTCACAAAGAGTATGTACCTGCTGCCAATGAGTTATAATTTGCTTATAAATGTCTTCTTGGCTTATGAAATGCCATTCAAGCCGCTATCTTGGTGGCCTCAATGTGCCTACCTGTGGCATCTGTTGGGGACGCCGCCAGAGCTATTAAACCATTCGCATGGTCCCCTCGAGCACTTTTCTGAACTCCATTAACGCCAACGCAAATCTGTGAGACAAAAACTAACCAAACAAGGCTGGAACGCATCCAGACACAATTAATTCTTTGTCCTTTGCTTTTTCTGCTCTGGCAGAGGCTGTGATCCAGGGGCGGAGATTTCACATGTGGTTCCCTTTTCCAAAGAGCACCCCCATCCCTTAACAACTAAAAGTAACATAGGAAGCTATAAGAAACAGGGTGCCACCCAAAATGGCCATGCATTGTTGGGTCTCTCACCTTTATCTTGATGCACAATTTCCCCAGTGTTTTGATACTATTATGCAAGACTCTTACCTTGCCCCTGATAACGCCAAGCAATGATGCGCAATGGTGGTGTCGGGTGGGTGCATAGCTGTCAAGGCATGAGTTGAATTGTACAAAACATTACCAGGGGCTGCGCACAGTGTTGTGGATTTCAGCAGCAGACTGTGTGTTCCGTGCAACATGCCGTTCCACCCTCACGTGTCCCATTTTATAACACAGCCTTGTCGATTCCGCCACCAGACCTTCATAAGGATGCCAAGGTCGCTGGTTCAGAAAGCCTGCCACTTGCTTTTAATTTTTCTCGTTGAAGCGCCTACTCATTTGTGTCCTTAGTTTTATGTTCCGTAATGCGATGCTAATTTATTCAGCAATTACTCTCAACCTGCAGCACACAGATAATGAAGCATAAGGTCAAAGAAATATGATTTCCTTGTGATTGAAACAGAGGCAGGGAGCCAGAAGCAGCACTCCTAGGGGGTGGTGTCATGATGAGGTGGGATCCTTTTCATAATGCTGCCTTTAAGGGCCCGAGATAAGGGAGCTGCGCTGTACGACTTGCCTGTGATCTGCTATTAAAACCGGGCGCATCATAAATGCCACTGCAGTCTGCAGAGATTTTATGATAAATGAGGAGAAGGCAGAGCCCTTCCCTTAAATTGCTCATTTGTGATGCCTGAGCACATCAAGTTGAAGCAACCCCGTTCCGGTGCAAGGAAGCGCCGTGGACTAATATTTCCCCACACTTTCCTATAAAACTACCTTTCCAGGATGGGAAATGTGGGCAACAATGATTGGCTTTCGCTTCTTGGGGATAAGATCTCCACTTAAAAGGCTTGTTGGGAAATTGGAATCACAAAGAATACAGTCAAACCTCGGTTCCCAAACGCCCCAAACCTGGAAGCAAGTGTGCCGGTTTTCAAATGTTTTTTGGAAGCCAAACGTCTGACGTGGCTTCCAATTGAGTGCAGTACATTAACTTATGGTCTGTGTGTGTGGTTTGGGAGCTGCATGGTCAGGGGAAAAACAATGCTGTCCAGGGTTGTAAAGACTGTGGAGAGAATAATTGGGTGCACTCTTCCCACCTTGGATCAAATCTATGCTTCCAGGTGCCATAAGAAAGCTGCAGAGATAGTGCAGGATTGTGCGCCCGGAAATGATTTATTTCAGCTTCTGCCTTCTAGAAGAAGGTACAGGGTTATAAAGACTAGGACTAGCCGCCTGAGAAACAGTTTCTACACAAATGCGATTTTGGTTTTAAACACATTGTAAGGAGTCTGTATGGGAGTATATTGTATTTAAAAATGGGGTATCAGAGTTTTTAGGGGGCTAACCAGGTTGGGATAGCTGGGATAGCAGGCTTGTTGGGTTTTGAATGTCTTATGTAGATTTTTCAATTTCGTTGTTCTGTATGGGACAATGACAATAAAGATTATTGCATCATATCATATCGTATCGTATTGTAAGCTGAATGCGCTTCCAGAATGGATTATGTTTGACAACCGATGTTTGACTATAGAGACTATACCTGTCCTCTATGTTCAGGGAGGTCCAAAGCATAGGTATTGCCACACTACAATCATCATCATCATCATCATCTGGCTGGGTTTTCCCAGCTACTACAGCCCAGTTCCTACGTGATACGGACAGACCTACTGATGAGTTGGTGCCCACCTCAGACCCTCACCAGCAGAAGATAGTGATCAGTTCAGTTTATAGAGGGAGAGGCAATTCTTTTATTCATAAGAAAAAATCCCCTTGTGTCCTTAGGCAGCCACTCTCACATCCCAGATTTTTCTCCAGGGTCACTGTGGGAATAAAATGGGGGAGGAGAGATGTTCGGCTCCTTGAAGAAAGGACAGGATGCGAATGTTCATTTAAAACCTTTTGAAAAGAATCAGCAATTACTTTTTGTCTGCACTTTTGTCTGCTAGGTAATGAAAATTGATTTAAGCAGAAAGCTGTATGTGTTCTACCAGCATTTCATTGAATTTATAAGGTCAGGAGCAAGTCACGCTCATTATTGCTGTGTCACTCGAGCATTTACGTATAAAAACGGAGTGTAGGCTATATATAATTACCTTTAAAACAACTCGGTCATGAAATTAGTCTAATGGGGTTGGAAAAACATTGCTACTGTTGTCAACAATCAGGTAATAAAAATCTTTATTGTGTGTTACCGTGATTGAGCATCTTAACTTTTTTTTATACTTGAGGTGATTCACGCAAATGTATTCATGCATTTGCTAGCGATGCATATATTCAGCATTACAGAAGGGAATTTGCAAACATCTCGTCCCAGGGTGGGGGGATTAGCCAGGTTCCTAATGTGCAATGCTAGCGTACAACCAGGTGCAAATATGTACCAGTACTGAGGTGTTGATCTGGGCCTCCCTGAAATTTCGGACATAATTGTAGATGAAGACATGCATCCCCATTCATCACACAAGTAGGGCTGTGTACAGGCTATGTCTTTAAAGCACATTTGAAGCACCTTATACCCACTCAAAGAATTATGGGCCCTGTAGTTTGTTGAATTGTAACTTCGTGGGGTGTAAACTACATACCCAGAATTCATTGGGAGGGAGAACATGATTTGGATGTATTTTAAAGGTACAATAAGTACACAGCCTAGAGTTTGGTTTGCATCTCTATGAGGAAAGGTAAGTCTCCAGCTTACACAAACATACACTGCTTGAGTATGGCGGGGGACAGAGGGACCTCAAAGCTTATTTTAAAGCTATGTTTTATTATTACGTTTTTGTATTGCATTAGATTGTTATATATAAGGTGTACATTCTTTATTTTTTCAGCTTGTAAACCGCCTTGAGTATTGTAAGATAGAAAGCCGGTATACAAATTAAAAGTGATGATGAGTGATGAAAGCGGTTTACAAAAAAGATCAGAGAATAAAATCAAGAAAAATCTACAGCCATACTTTAAAGCAGGCAAAAGTTAAAATACTGAAACAGATTAAAATGATCTCCACTTTCTAAGCCTCTTGTCTAAATAAGAACGTTTTTAGCCGTTGCTGAAACGAGTACAGTGAAGATGCCTGCTTGATATCAATAGACAGGGAGTTTGAAAGTGTAGGCACTGCCACACTAAACAATAGAGTTCTTAAAAATGTTTCACCTCGGGTAGAGAGGAGGATGACAGAGATGCCCAGTTCCTTCTCCTCTTCAGAGACCGCTGGATTCTTCTGTGTCCATGCGGTCACACGGGTCTTCCTTCTTTTGTGGGTTCATAATTCAGCCAGCGTTGGTACCACTTTTATCCACCAGCTCTTCGGTGTTGGAGATATACGTGCAGCTACTTCAATTTGCATGAAAGTAGCAGCTCTGAAAGGTGCACAGTGCCCAAAACCAACACCGGAGAGCTGCCGCAATCGTGCAAGCTGGGGCAGTCCTTCTTTGTAGACCCCAGTGTAGAGGTGCTGAATCGTACAATCTCATCCTGTTGTATGATTCACCGGGGGCTTAGCTACACCAGAGATAACTGCCTGAGTGAGAATGTCTCCCAAATGCCTGAGCAAGGCCAGTGCTTTGCTGTATCCTAGATACGAACGTTGATCCCATTTATCTTGCTTGATAGCCTTCAGAGCACCTAGCCAACCATTCTTGTCGTTTCCTACACCCAATGGCTTCTAGAGTGTTTATCTCCAAATGAGATATTCCTGAGCAGTGCCGGATTTACATATAAGCTAAACAAGCTATAGCTTAGGGCCCCACTCTCTTGAGGGCCCGCAATAAATTTCATGGGGGGGGGGAAAAACTGGATGTACCTTTCCAAAATATAAGATAAAATAAAAATAAAATAAAACCTACATACAGCAACAGTGTTTTGTGTTGTGTAGGCTCCTATGATGTAAGTAATGGGCCCCACCTGCTAGCCCACTCCCTAAAATATCACTGGTTTGCTCATTTCTATATATAGGGTGCCTACATTCTGCATGTGCAAATGGCTTTCGATACCTATTAGGTCCATAAATTACCATATAGCATATATTCAACACAAAAGACAGCGACAATCTGTTGTTGACAAAGGACAGCTGGACATATAAAGGGACCCATTACCTTCAGGAGCTTAGGGACTCATCAAACCTAAATCTGGCCCTGTTCCTGAGATCAGCATGTAGAAGTAGCCACAAAATAAGGCAGAGTCTTCAGCTAGGGTCTATGTTGTTTACCAGCAAATTCTGACTTGCCACTTCCCACAGCTCAGAGAACAGTGTGTTGCATTTGAGAAACGTCTTTGTTTGTATTTAAACACACTGCCTGTAACTTTCATTGGATCGCCATGTAGTACTTCGTTGTACATGTTGTACTTTGAGATGGAAAATTAAAGGTCCTTGCCAATTTTCCCACCCTACTTAATTATGGTGAATTGCATATTCTCCCAGGTTCAGCTTTTATAAGGATTTTATCTCTTCATATTTGAGCATCTAATTTACATTGAAAGCTCACTAAATCACTAGTTTTCAGCAGCATGAATAAAGGTGGACTCTACGATCGAAAATGGCTACATAAATTCTCTGAGAATAAACCTTGATCATGAGAACAAACCTTGGCTATACCTCAGGGTTAGCAAGGAGAGAGCTTAACCACAAGCTCAGATCTAGATGGCACACTAACTGAGCCAAAACTTTGCTTAGTTTGCACAGGATGTGAATAAGCAAAGTGACTATGACTATATGATTCCAGGGCTGGATCAAAGAAGCATTTCAATTTAAAGCATTGTAAATTTAAACAGGGACGTGGATGGTGCTGTGGGTTAAACCACAGAGCCTAGGACTTGCCAATCAGAAGGTCGGCGGTTTGGATCTCCGCGACAGGGTGAGCTCCCGTTGCTCGATCCCTGCTCCTGCCAACCTAGCAGTTCGAAAGCACGTCAAAGTGCAAGTAGATAAATAGGGACCGCTCCGGCGGGAAGGTAAACGGCGTTTCCATGCGCTGCTCTGGTTCGCCAGAAGCGGCTTAGTCATGCTAGCCACATGACCCGGAAGCTGTACGCCGGCTCCCTCGGCCAATAAAGCGAGATGAGCGCCGCAACCCCAGAGTCAGCCACGACTGGACCTAATGGTCAGGGGTCCCTTTACCCTTTACTAAATTTAAACAGGGAAAACAGGTACACTGAAACAGAATTCACCAGACCCTTATATACAGTAAGAGGGTGGGGAGGGGTATTACTCAGAAGGGTGGTGGGAATGGGTGATTGGCTGATAGGTGTGATAAACCTGTTGATGACTGTTAATGACTGCAATTGGTCTTACAGGAAAAAGCAAGAGGTGAGATGGCAAAAAAAAAAAAATAGCTTTATCATGTTTAATGAGATAAGAATCATGCTGTGATTTACAGCCTGCTTTACTTAAAAGGGGGACGCAGGTGGCGCTGTGGGTTAAACCACAGAGCCTAGGACTTGCCGATCAGAAGGTCAGCGGTTTGAATCTCCATGACGGGGTGAGATCCCGTTGCTCGGTCCCTGCTCCTGCCAACCTAGCAGTTCGAAAGCAAGTCAAAGTGCAAGTAGATAAATAGATACCGCTCTGGTGGGAAGGTAAACAGTGTTTCCGTGCGCTGCTCTGGTTCACCAGAAGCGGCTTAGTCATGCTGGCCACATGACCCGGAAGCTGTACGCCGGCTCCCTCGGCCAATAAAGCGAGATGAGCACCGCGTCCCCTTTACCTTTACCTTACTTAAAAGGGGGACGCGAGTGGCACGGTGGGTTAAACCACAGAGCCTAGGACTTGCTGATCAGAAGGTTGGCGGTTCGAATCCCTGCGACAGAGTGAGCTCCCATTGCTCAGTCCCTGCTCCTGCCAACCTAGCAGTTCGAAAACACGTAGATAAATAGGTACTGTTTCCGTGCGCTGCTCTGGTTCGTCAGAAGAGGCTTAGTCATGCTGGCCAGAAGACCCGGAAACTGTACGCCAGCTCCCTCGGCCAATAAAGCGAGATGAGCGCCGCAACCCCAGAGTCAGCCACGACTGGACCTAATGGTCAGGGGTCCCTTTACCCTTTACTAAATTTAAACAGGGGAAACAGGTAGAGAAAAACGGGGATCCACTTCGCCATCTGGTGGCACGATGTTATATGGCACATACAACACATATAAATTGCTTTTTCTTTACCAGTCTAGCTGAGACCCAGGAGTGCACATGTTCACACAATCCCAGTATGCCTTGGTTTGCTCATTTTGTCATAATATATATAGTGACCGTCCAAAGTTGAAAACTTACTGACTTGTTTGCGAAAACGCACAATTTGCTGTAGAGTGTTCCATGACTTACAGCGCTGAAAGGGTTTTGATCTTCTTCATCTAGGTAAGCCAGTCATGATTGTAACCGAATACATGGAAAATGGATCTTTGGATACATTTTTAAAGGTAAGACTTAAAATGTGTATCAGCATCAAATCACCCGCATGCCGCTTTAAGACAGTACTTGTGCTTTGAAGAAAAGTAAGAATGATTTCCTTTTAGAAACAATCCTTGACAGGATGTTGTTGTTGTTTTTAATTCAGTTTATATACCACCCTTTATCCAAAGGGACGCGGTAGGGACGCGGGTGGCGCTGTGGGTAAAAGCCTCAGCACCTAGGGCTTGCCGATCGAAAGGTCGGCGGTTCGAATCCCCGCGGCGGGGTGTGCTCCCGTCGTTCGGTCCCAGCGCCTGCCAACCTTGCAGTTTGAAAGCACCCCCGGGTGCAAGTAGATAAATAGGGACTGCTTACAAGCGGGAAGGTAAACGGCGTTTCCGTGTGCGGCTCTGGCTCGCCAGAGCAGCGATGTCACGCTGGCCACGTGACCCGGAAGTGTCTCCGGACAGCGCTGGCCCACGGCCTATAGAGTGAGATGGGCGCACAACCCTAGAGTCTGGCAAGACTGGCCCGTACGGGCAGGGGTACCTTTACCTTTTACCTTTATCCAAAGATCCCAAGGTGGTGTACAACATTAAGAATGTAATTTACACAGCATAATAATAAAAACATAATATGTTGCATAATAATTAAATGTAATCATCTTCAACAAATAAATAAACTTCTATACACCAGAGCCTTTTTTATCCTTTGCAAGAACCTGGAGATAAATTCACTGTGAAGAATATATTCTGCCATGCTTTTTGGATGTTGCTATTCTTGCTCGTATCTTTTCATTCCAATATTTGCTTCCCAAAATATTTTGGTGGCATTAAATGTTGGTTGCTTGTCCCACACTTGCACATTTTACACGTGAAAAGTCTATTCTTCTTTTCCAGTGGGGTGGGAGAGATAATTTTCAAATGCAAAATGTTGGTTAGTCTTCTTTCAAGCTTTGACGATTATGGTCATTCTTACTGGTGAAGCCTTTGAAAGGTTTGCATTTTCCATTTGCCTCTTGCTATAGAAGGTCTTTCATCGCTTTAGGATGGTTTGCATGGAAAGGGGGGCAGAGCATCAGAAACCTCAAAACCCCGCAGGTCAAAGTTTTTTGTGCTTGGGCTGTGTACTTCAGACATTGCTGATTCCTAAGGGAAGTCAATAGGTGTGATGCATGAGCGTCGTAACAAGCAAGTAATGTGGGTGGTGCTGTGGTCTAAACCACTGAGCCTCTTGGGCTTGCCGATCAGAAGGTCGGCGGTTCAAATCCCCAGAACAGGGTGAGCTCCCATTGCTCTGTACCAGCTTCTTCCAACCTAGCAGTTCGAAAGCACACCAGTGCAAGTAGATAAATAGGTACCGCTGTGGCAGGAAGGGAAATGGCGTTTCTGCGCGCTCTGGTTTCTGTCACAGTGTCCCATTGCCCCAGAAGCAGTTCAGTCATGCCGGCCACGTGACCCAGAAAGCTGTCTGTGGACAAACGCCGGCTCCCTCAGCCTGAAAGCAAGATGAGCGCTGCAACCCTATAGTTGCCTTTGACTGGACTTTACCATCCAGGGGTCCTTTAACTTTTTTTTGCAATACAAGCAGTTCTTGCACTCCTGTAAATGACTGTGCATGGCACCAGAATTGCCTTGATAGCCCCTTTGTCGTAAGAGGATTTGGGGATTCAAAACTCTTGGTTTTCCTGGACCTCTCAGCCGTTTTTGATACCATTGACCAGGACATCCGCCTGGACCGCCTAAGGGAGCTGGACGCTGGGGGCTTTGCATTGCAGCTGTTCCTCTGAGGGCAGTTTCAATCCCATGTGGAGACATTGGGGACTGTCACCGGTTGGTTTGGCACATGAGGACACCAGTGTGCTGTCGACGCACAACTCATATCTCTCTGTGCCATCTGAATTAAGAGACGCAGCGCAGGTGGTAAACTGGTGTTTGGTGGTGGTGTCAGGCTGAATGTGGTCCCACGGGTTGAAACTGAATCCAGACAAGGTGGTGGTTCGATGACTGGGCGGTTCTCAGATCTGGGTGTTGGTGGGCATCCTGTTCTAAACAGGGTTGCATTTCCCTTGAATTAAATGGTGGTGTAGGGACGCGGGTGGCGCTGTGGGTAAAAGCCTCAGCGCCTAGGGCTTGCCGATCGAAAGGTCGGCGGTTCGAATCCCTGCGGCGGGGTGCGCTCCCGCTGCTTGGTCCCAGCGCCTGCCAACCTAGCAGTTCGAAAGCACCCCCAGGTGCAAGTAGATAAATAGGGACCGCTTACTAGCGGGAAGGTAAACGGCATTTCCGTGTGTGGCTCTGGCTTGCCAGAGCAGCGATGTCACGCTGGCCACATGACCCGGAAGTGTCTCCGGACAGCGCTGGCCCCCGGCCTCTTGAGTGAGATGGGCGCACAACCCTAGAGTCTGTCAAGACTGGCCCGTACGGGCAGGGGTACCTTTACCTTTTTAAATGAAGCCCACAGCTGGCAGGACTGCCTGTGTCCAGCTCAGGCTCCTGCACCAAGTGCAATGCACTAGTCATAGCTGTCAACGTTTCCCGTTTTTTAAGGGAACGTTAAATGCAGCATGTTTAGACTTGCTTTTTACCCATGGGTAGACAAACTAAGGCCTGGGGGCCGGATCCAGCCCAATTGCCTTCTAAATCTGGCCCGTGGACAGTCCGGGAATCAGTGTGTTTTTAAATGAGTAGAATGTGTCCTTTTATTTAAAATACATCTCTGGGTTATTTGTGGGGCATAGGAATGCGTTCTTTTTTCTTTCAAAATATAGTCCAGCCCCCCCCCCCGACAAGGTCTGAGGGACAGTGGACCAGCCCCTGCTGAAAAAGTTTGCTGACACTTGCTTTTTACTTATTCTTTAAATTGACATTTTTTAATTTCAATATTTATATTCTGCTTTTCCATCCAAAATGATGGCCAAAGTGGCTAACAGTGATATATAAACACACACAGAGAGAGAGTTTGAAAAATGACCTAACAATTAAAAAAAATGCTTCACTACCCTATAAATAAAAAATTGATTCAGTATCTAATGAGAGAAATAACACTTTAGTTTACAAATGGTCTAACATTTGTTACTGTCTTTTATATCAACCTTCAGCGTCTCTTTTCAGGGTCCAATAATAAAACATCTTTTTCTAAGATCAATTATAAAAAACCTGTTTCTCTACATATAATATTTCTTTTAAAGAAGTATTTTATTGCTGTTTTATTATGTGTTATATTTTATTGCATTTTGTTGTTGTTGTTGGCCACCTTGGGTGTCATGTGCTGGAATGCTGGGGGTAAAAATTTCAGAAATAATTTGAAAAAAGCTTTTCTTTTTTAGAAGATTTTTAGAAGATTTAGATGCAGGGATTCAGCCAACGACTTGATGTTCTCATTCTGTTATTTTTACAGAAGAATGACGGGCAGTTCACTGTAATTCAGCTAGTTGGTATGCTGAGAGGGATCGCATCTGGAATGAAATACTTGTCTGACATGGGCTATGTACACAGAGACTTGGCAGCCAGGAATATCCTCATCAACAGTAACTTAGTGTGCAAAGTATCTGACTTTGGACTTTCCAGAATTCTTGAAGATGACCCAGAAGCTGCCTACACAACAAGGGTAAGTTCCTAGCCAGCAGCAGCAATGAACCACCTGCCAAGCTATGAAAAATGGATGGGAAAATGCTAGACTCTGGGTGGGGGCAGATTATTTGGAGAATGTCCTGAATGGGTTTAGCTAAACTATGCAACCTTTATAAGACATCTGAAGTATGTTGTTGTTGTTTAGTTGTTTAGTCGTGTCCGACTCTTCGTGACCCCATGGACCAGAGCACGCCAGGCACTTCTGTCTTCCACTGCCTCCCGCAGTTTAGTCAAACTCATGCTGGTAGCTTCGAGAACACTATCCAACCATCTCGTCCTCTGTCGTCCCCTTCTCCTTGTGCCCTCCATCTTTCCCAGCATCAGGGTCTTTTCCAGGGAGTCTTCTCTTCTCATGAGGTGGCCAAAGTCTTGGAGTCTCAGCTTCAGGATCTGTCCTTCCAGTGAGCACTCAGGGCTGATTTCCTTAAGAATGGACATGTTTGATCTTCTTGCAATCCATGGGACTCTCAAGAGTCTCCTCCAGCACCATAATTCAAAAGCATCAATTCTTCGGCAATCAGCCTTCTTTATGGTCCAGCTCTCACTTCCGTACATCACTACTGGGAAAACCATAGCTTTAACTATACGGACCTTTGTCGGCAAGGTCTGAAGTATAGGAAGTTTTTAATGTTTGATGTTTTGTTACGTTTTCATATATGTTGGAAGCTGCCCCGAGTGGCTGGGGCAACCTAATCTATCTGTTTGATCAGACATAGGCAAACTTGGGCCGTCAGATGTTTAGGGACTACAATTCCCATCATCCCTGACCACTGGTCCTTTTAGCTAGGGATCATGGGAGTTGTAGTCCCAAAACATCTGGAGGGCCAAATTTGCCTATGCCTGTATTTGATGATGCCACAATGCTGTGCCTGATGTTGTCGTGTTGCTGAATGTCAGTAAATAAAACCCCAAACAATCAAGCGATGACAATCACTTGTTAAATTTTCCCACTTTTACCATGCAATACATATTTCAGAGTCTGCAGCAGAACTCCAGCTGCCTAGTAAGGAGTAATTGAATCAAGCACCAGTATGTCTGTTTCAGAGTGCGAACATGTAGACGGATCATTTTGGGCTTGACCTTTGCCTCCCTCCCGTTTTCCTTACCAATTTGAATTCAGCGCTAGTCTGTCATTAACATCCCAAACCTCAGGATTTGCTTGATGTGCAGCCATGACCTGAAAATTGTCAGGTGGTGTTTCTGGTACCCTGGAGTCAGCTTCTCTGGAGTCCACGCTGTGCTGACGACTTGCTTGCTTGCTTGGATTTCTCCCCCACTAGCTACCATGACCTAATTGAGATGTGAATTCTATACATGTCCTGGTGTTCAAATGAAATTTAAACAAGCCTTCAGGACAGGCAATTAGTAGTCAGCCAGCAAGGCACATATAGACTGAGATAATGTGGAAAGAGGCTTTCATGCTCTCAAAACAGATTTACATTAGCAATTCTACATCACTTTCCCACCCCATTCAAGCCAGAAAATGGTCTCCCTTGGCACTCTGAAAACAAAACAAAACCAACAGCCGCTTTTTCTCAATCTGTTTTTTTGGTTTTTTTTGGCCTTCCTAGGGAGGGAAAATCCCAATCCGATGGACAGCTCCAGAAGCCATCGCCTTCCGCAAATTCACTTCTGCCAGCGATGTCTGGAGCTACGGGATTGTGATGTGGGAAGTGGTGTCTTATGGGGAGAGACCTTACTGGGAGATGACCAACCAAGACGTAAGTATTCCAGTTGCCCTTCCTGTCAGAAAGCTCTTTAGCTGCTAGCAGGACGCCGCATGTATTCATGATTCCCAACACGTTTTTGCTGTTGCTGATAAGTATCTAAAGCAGGCGTCAGGTCTGGAAATGTTACTGTTGAATCCATGAGTAGGCAGGAGGGTCGGGAGAGAAGCAGTAACTGAATGGGCACACGAAATGGGCTTCTATTCGAGCTTCTAGGTGATTTCTGTGCATGCTTTATTTCTGCATGTACTTCTGAACGGTGAATGTGATATGCAGTGGCGTAGCGTGGGTTGTGAGCACCCGGGGCAAGGCAAGTAATTTGCGCCCCCTAACCCATGGATTTGCGGCCCCTAACCTGTGGATTTGCCCTAACCCCAGATGTTGCGCCCGGTGCGGCCGGCACCCCCTGCACCCCCCATGCTACGCCACTGGTGATATGCAATTTAACCCACTTGTTTGCCTGCTAAGACCAGGCTGCAAGCCCAGCCAAGACCTGAAGGAGACTGATCTGCACCATGAATTTGTCACGGAGTCAAGGCCATTTGACACCCTCCCCACAGTGGGGCCAGCTTAAGTCAGGCTTCGGGAAGGAGGCGCAACGTTCTTGCAGGGTCCTAGAGCCCTCCCACCTCCTTCCCAAATCCTGGTAAGCGCTTGCCTGGCTTTGAGAAGGAGGAGAGAGGATTCTAGGACCCTGTGAGAGCCCTCACACATCATTCCTGAGGTGGGACAAGCGTTTAGAGGGCTTTGGGGAGATGCACTCCTCAGCTGCAATCCTGGTGTGACTGCCCCGCTCTCACTGCCCTAAATCCACCCCCGGAAAACGTTCACTGAGCTACAACTCCCATCATCCATTGGCCCGGTTTGCTAGGATTGATGGGTGTTGTGGTCTAGCAACATCTGGAGGGCCAAAGGTTCCCCACACCTGATACAACATTGGAGATATTGTGGGAAATATACCCTGTTTTTCACTCCATAAGACACACCTGACCATAAGACACACCTAGTTTTTAGAGGAGGAAAACAAGGGAAAAAATATTCTGAACGAAACAGTGGATGTATGTTTTTTGTGGTTCATGCTGTGGCCACAGACATGTGATCTGATGGTGAATTTGGGGTGACTCAATGCAAAAATCCTGAGCATCCATGTGGATCCGTGCTTTGTAACCACATTTTTGCACCATTGCGGCCCCACGCAACAGTGGGTGCGTGATTTTTTTGGTGCAGGCTGTAGCCATGGACATGTTATGTGATCTGATGGTGAATTTGGGGTAACCCAATGTAAAAATCCTAAGGATCTATGGGCTTTTACCTCCCCCCTCCCAGGCAGCCTCCGCTAGCGTCCCTTATCTCTCTTCCAATCCCACCAATCAGCTGCTTCCTTTCAACACTCCCTTCCCTCTTGTTTGCCTTAGTGTCTTTTCCTTAGCTGGAGCAGTTTTTTGCTTCTCCTTTTTTTCTAATTTCTCTCCTTATTGCTTTAGTCTTCCTGTTTCCCCCCTTTGCAAGTTTGCTGTCTTTACTTCCCCACTCCCAGGCAGCCTCCTTTATCTCTAGCATCCCTTATCTCTCTCCCCCCCCCCCCCCCGATCGGCAAACGATCAGCGGCTTTGTTTCAACACCCACTTCCCTCTTTCAAAAAAGAAGAAGAAGAAGAAGAAGAAGAAGAAGAAGAAGAAGAAGAAGAAGAAGAAGAAAGCGTGATCTGCTTTTTACTCCTGGGCAATTTGGCTCCAGGGACCACGCATTCGCTCCATAAGACGCACAGACATTTCTCCTTACTTTTTAGGAAGGAAAAGGTGCATCTTATGGAGCGAAAATTCAGTAAATGGTGGCTAGACTTCGCTGCCCAGTACTGCTTTGCCAAAGTTCAACTGTTCAGTATGTCTGAGTTCTGAGTTGCACAAACACACACACACAGAACACACACACACACACACACACACACACACACACACACGGATATGCATTATGGAAACTCTCCTATTCCCCTTTTTGGGTAAGCGTAGCGGGAACATGATGCCAGTATTCAGGAAGGCAGGCATAGCCATGGAAATCAAAGGGAAGATTTCACACCTCCCTGGCTAGCCAGCCAAGCAGCAGCTGTTTTACAAAAACCTGGGGAAATGCTCCCAGTCTCTCTTTGCAGCCCCTTTCATTGCCAGCCCTTTCTTTCCGCAGCGCAAACACAGTTTATTGCAAAGTGAAACAACAAAGCCCGAGCAGGTTCTCTTGGCAGAAACATTGTCATCCCGTGAATAGGCCTTAATTCAGCATCCATCAGTATTATTTTTTAAGGATGAAGGGCTGTCATGGGATAAATGCATTTTTATTACTCAATTCAGAAACACTGACAGGCTCGCACAGCTTAATCCTTGAGGGCCATGCATATTTCTAACCAGTGAGATTCCTCTGGGAAAAGAGAGGAGGCTGTGTGGTCTGTTTGGTAGTGTTTGAGCAGGCCTTTGCCCATGAATGAGTATTAGGGAAGTGTGCATTTTCCCTTTTTGACATGCTTCAATCCCCCTTTTGTACTCCCAATCTGGGCAAGGGAGATTAAATGCAGATAGCAAGCAGTGTGGATTGTACCACACACACACACACACACACACAGAGAGAGAGAGAGAGAGAGAGAGAGAGAGAGAGAGAGAGAGAGACTCAATAAATGCTAACAAATGGGAAGGGAATTCTAATACGCACTAACAATTTCCATGCAGAGTTCCAAGTTCAGTATTCAGGGATGTCAACAGGATTCCCTGGAACTGGTACACACAATCTATTGGCAACAACTCCTTCTTAAACACATACAGCATGTGAATTTACGCCGGCCCACCTCACAGGGCTGTTGCAAAGATAAAAAGAGGGGAGGGTAACACAACCTTCAGCTCCTGGGATGAAAAGATACAAATATATAAAGTCATTCATGGAAAGAAAAATAAGAATGGGCAAAGCCACAAAAGCCTTTGATTTGATTGATTCCAAGCTCTGCTTAATAACCTCCAGTGAAGGAGAGTCTGCAACCTTCCGATGGAGTCTGCTCCACTGTCATACAACTCTTAGGGTCAGAAACTTCTAGTTACAGGTAGGTAGCCATGTTGGTCTGCTGTAGTTGAAACAAAATTTAAAAAAAATCCTTCCAGTAGCACCTTAGAGACCAACTAAGTTTGCCATTGGTATGAGCTTTTGTGTACATTTCACACTTCTTCAGATACACTGAAACAGAATTCACCAGACCCTTATATACAGTAAGAGGGTGGGGAGGGGTATTACTCAGAAGGGTGGTGGGAATGGGTGATTGGCTGATAGGTGTGATAAACCTGTTGATGACTGTTAATGACTGCAATTGGTCTTACAGGAAAAAGCAAGAGGTGAGATGGCAAAAAAAAAAAAAGCTTTATCATGTTTAATGAGATAAGAATCATGCTGTGATTTACAGCCTGCTTTACTTAAAAGGGGGACGCAGGTGGCGCTGTGGGTTAAACCACAGAGCCTAGGACTTGCCGATCAGAAGGTCAGCGGTTTGAATCTCCATGACGGGGTGAGCTCCCGTTGCTCGGTCCCTGCTCCTGCCAACCTAGCAGTTCGAAAGCAAGTCAAAGTGCAAGTAGATAAATAGATACCGCTCTGGTGGGAAGGTAAACAGTGTTTCCGTGCGCTGCTCTGGTTCACCAGAAGCGGCTTAGTCATGCTGGCCACATGACCCAGAAGCTGTACGCCGGCTCCCTCGGCCAATAAAGCGAGATGAGCACCGCGTCCCCTTTACCTTTACCTTACTTAAAAGGGGGACGCGAGTGGCACGGTGGGTTAAACCACAGAGCCTAGGACTTGCTGATCAGAAGGTTGGCGGTTCGAATCCCTGCGACAGAGTGAGCTCCCATTGCTCAGTCCCTGCTCCTGCCAACCTAGCAGTTTGAAAACACGTAGATAAATAGGTACTGTTTCCGTGCGCTGCTCTGGTTCGTCAGAAGAGGCTTAGTCATGCTGGCCACAAGACCCGGAAGCTGTACGCCAGCTCCCTCGGCCAATAAAGCGAGATGAATGCCACAACCCCAGAGTCGGTCACGACTGGACCTAATGGTCAGGGGTCCCTTTACCCTTACCTTTACTTAAAAGGCTCAGAAAAGGTTTTGTGGCGGCTATCACATGCTGACAGCTTCTAGGAGCCACAGGTGAGAGCTGAGTGCAGGGTGGGGACCTAAGCTGGACGTAATGCCCCAGGAGGAGCACAACAGGTCCCACACCAGAGGCGCTACCATTCCCTAACACCCCATGTGTAGTTGAACCCTAAACTAGGGGCTATTGATACACCTTGACATAATGAATTCCATAAATGCTATGTGTTTATAATTCTTCCAGTAGGGAAGAAGACTGCTTCTGTACACAGTGATTAAATGTGAAAAGACATCTAAAAGTGATTGAGGACTAGGACTACTTACCAAGAACCCAGCACTTGTTTTATACATCTCGAAAGCCATTATGATCCTTTCTTGGCAAGTAGTCAGAGGGCACTGGTGTGCTCAGCAAGACCATCTGGATTTTACAGACTATATTTTGTCGCAGAGACATTATGCCACAGAGACATTGTCACTGTGTGGTCATCAGAGGCAGATTGTTTGCTATTTGGTAGTCCTTGTTGTGGTCAAAACTAATTCCTACTGGTCTTGTTGCTGGTTTCTCAGGGTGCCCCAGTCCAAGGTCAAGGAAATGCAACATTCTTGCTACATTATGGTTCACATTTTTATCCCATCCTTCCTCAAAGAAGCGCAGAATGGCACATGTGAAAATAACCCAAATTATCTTGTTACTAATAGATCGTATTTTACTGATATGCCCATAGACCCATTGTAAAATATGACTTGAGTAAGAAATCTCAGATAATATGGATTGTTACACATAGCCTGAAACATAATGCAAACAAGACATATACAATTTTGCATCCACGCCAAACTCACTCTGAGATCATTCATGCTCTTATTCTGGTTGCCAAATTGCCTTAACTTTTTAAAGGGGCTACCCTTCTAGTAACATAATTATCTTCTCCCTTCTTAGAGAATTCTAAACCAAAACCTTTTAAAATGTTTTAAAGGGGGACAGGTCAAATCATGCTTAACTCCATTACAATATTCACAGTGTGACAAAAGCTTTTCTGTTGATCAGTCTGCCATTGTTAGTATGAGAACCTTCCCCAACTCCCACAATTATTTTCCAAATTTACAGCTTTTCAGACCTGTGAAATTATCAGAAAACATTTCGGTGCTTTTTTTCAAAGACCTTGTTTGCCATCCTGGTTAAAACAATGAGCATTGAGGAAGGATGTTCTGGAATCTGCTTTGACCTCCCTTAGGTGATTAAAGCTGTCGAAGAAGGGTATCGCCTGCCAAGTCCCATGGACTGCCCAGCTGCTCTTTATCAACTTATGCTGGATTGCTGGCAGAAGGAAAGGAACAGTAGGCCCAAGTTTGATGAAATTGTATGCATGTTGGACAAGCTCATCCGCAACCCTAGCAGCTTGAAAACATTGGTGAATGCATCAAGCAGGTACAAAAACCAACCCCAAAAGTCATGTTGTGTCCTACTTCTGTCATGGTTTTCTAGGATTATCTCATCTGTTCTGATCCCTAATTGGACTGGACTACTTGAGGAGGGATGAACGGAGGGGAAGCATCAACAAGGGGGATAAGGGGCTACGAACAAAAGTAAAGAACAGGGCTGGCCCAAGTATGAGGCAGCAGAATTCAAGGGGCGCCCCTTGCGGCTACCCGAGAAATGAGGGGAAGTGACGGCAGCAGCTTCCGGGTTCTGGCAAGGTCTTGGAAACACCGCAAAGTCTCATGAGAGCCCCACGAAATCTTGCCAGAACCTGGAAGATGCTGTCACAGAACCCTGGTAAATGAGGCTTCTGAAGGGGATAGTGAGGGGAGTCCATGGGACATCTTCCCATAAACAGGACATACTGCCATTGGCAAAGAACCAATAAAAAGGGTATTAAGAATTGTGGGGGTGGGGCGTTTCAGCCTCCCGAAACCACTATTTCCAAGCTGAAAAGTGAACCTGCAGAAAACTTGGGTAAACTGTAAACCCTACAGTGAAATGCTCTTCTGACATGAACATGTGGAGAAGCTGACTTTGGGCACTGCAGGGTCACACTTTCTTATTACAGTGGTACCTCCGGTTGTGGATGGGATCAGTTCCGGAGCTCTGGTCAGATCCCGAGGTTTCTGCAACCAGAGGGACCGCTTCTGCGCATGTGCGTGCGGCGCCCCCCCCAAAAAAAATACTTCCAGGTTTGCCGCATTTGCATCCTGAAGGATACGCAACTGGAGGTACCACTGTAATTGCTGCTGTTAACTCCATGCAAAACAAGACCGGAAGTGTAACACCCAAATGAAGTGTTTTTGTTTAGGTTTGTCTTAATCTGTATCTTGGTTTCTTTTTTAGAGTTTCAAATTTATTAGGTGAACACAGCCCGCTGGGAAATGGTGTCTACAGATCTGTAGGGGAATGGCTGGAAGCCATCAAAATGGGACGGTATACAGAGATTTTCATGGAAAATGGATACAGTTCAATGGACGCTGTGGCTCAGGTGACCTTGGAGTGAGTAGATTTCCTGATCCTTTTCATTGAAATAAGGGAGAAACCTGTTGGTTTGAAGCCAGTTAGAGAGTAAAGATAGAAAGTGAAGACTGGAAGCATTTAAGGGTTTTTCTTTGTTTTTCTTTTAACACTCATCCGATTCCAAGGAAGTTTCAGCATTCATATCCTATATAAATGATAACAGACCAATGAGATAGATGGCCTTATGGTTACCGTCAGCTGTTGGCAAAGCAGCTCTAATAAAGTAGCACATGAGTTTGGACGTAGCAACAGCATCCCAATTTTGGCACATGACTTGGCTTGTTTCTCATGTGACAAAGGCACTCTTGCTGAGTGCGTCGCAGTTAACGAAACTGTGGGAGTTTTGAAGACCGTAATCTTCTTTGCAAGCCAGGAAGTCTTGATTCCACAAACACCTTTGAATACCTGTGGGTGTAATGGCAGGAAGGGGAGGGAATCCACCCCCAATGTAATCTGGCCCAGAGCCACAGCTTCTTGTGGTGATGGAAACCATTCCAGAGCAGTTTCGGAGCACCTTTCTTTCTGAGAAGTTCTCCTGCAGTCCAGAAATATAGGGATGCCTCCATTTCAAGGGAGGAAAGATGTTCTTAGTATCCTTGGAGATCTTGGCACATGCAAGTCTTTGGGGAAGTGAGAGGAGGAGAACTTCTTTTAATTCTTCCTCACAAAAGCAGAGAAGTGACGCCTTTAGGGGAAGTTTCTGCAGAGAAGGAATCCCATTAGAGGAGAGCAGAAAGCAAAAGGACATACCATGCCTGTATCTGAGACTGTCAAATGCTGGAGAGTCTAGCACAGCCAGGGGACTTACTGGAGATGTCAGGTCCACCTCTGAGATGCAAGGGGAAAGTGTTAAGGAGTGCACCAGCAGAGATGTAATCCCACGAGTGATTTTTAAAACTTGTTTTTAAACCACCCTTACCTACATCTCAAGAGTCTGAAATGCTTGGGGAGCGTACCTTATTGATCTGCTTTTTAGGAAAAAATAATAAATTGATTTCCCCCTCTCTGCGGCCTGAATAAATTTTCCAAGCTCATCCCTTTCATACAGTTTCTCCAGGCTCCATAAATTTCAGAAAATTCTTAAAAATTTCACCAATTTGGGGTTTACTTTTTAAAAATGTTAATGTTGCACCTCTTTTAAAAAAATAATTTTAAAAATCCACTCTCCTTAAAGCAAACACAATCCCTGCTAGTAGATACCCATGATAGTCTTAGGTGTGAATTATTTTTCAGATTGCCTTCCACCAGAACACTTCTCCACAGCAACAGAGGGAAGGTTAAAGTACAAAGACCACCTTCCTTCCTTCCTTCCTTCCTTCCTTCCTTCCTTCCTTCCTTCCTTCCTTCCTTCCTGTCATATAGGGAGTTTATCACAGTTCCCTGGCTGTGCTAAAACACTTAAGGTTCCTTGCATCTGTATCAGATGGGGGAAGGTGGAGGGTGACTGTAGAGAGAAATATGGAAGCCATCTGAGATTCAAGAATCCATTCCGGCAGAATGAATCAATTCCTCTCTCCAGCAGAGCTCACAAGACTCTGATTCTAAATAATTGGGATGGTTTTCTGTTCACAACTCATGAGCAGATACCAGGTTTGCACATCATACTAAGCCAAACCATGGTATAACATAAACATGTGAGTGCACAAGCTTCAGGAGAGGACAGTAACTGCTTTGGTGCTCCCAGTTGTTTTGCTGCAGCAGACTTGACTTGGCCTAGCTTGGCATGTCACCCAAGCCTTGCCTGTTGGTTTCATTTTCTTGAAATTAACCACAAGCTGTAACTCAGGTTTGTCCTATGGTTTAGGGCTCATGGTTCATCCAGGAGAGCTAAAACAAGAGACTGAGTTTAGTTCACACACCAGGCTAACCCTTGGTTTAGCTCAGCATAGCAGCGAAATAACCAGGCAAGATCGAAGTGGATGCAATCTCTTCTTCAGGAACCCTTGTGTTTTGGCTAAGCCATTTTTTACGCTTAGTGTGACATGTGAACCGTACTATTGCTTAACAAACGTTGGGGCCTGACTTCGCTATTTTGAATTGTGACAAAATGCAAAGGGGCCTTGACTGAACATTAGGCACAGACACTTAAAGTTGTGTATGAAAGTGGATTTCTTTTGCTCAGTATTTCTGTTTCTCAATTACATTTAATTTACCGGGAACTCTCAGATCCTCCTTAGGCTGCAGTTCCAATGGCTGGTATGGTCAGCTCTCATATCATATGGCATGGCTGGGAATTTATGATTGATTTCCAATTCCTGTGGCAGAAATTCAAGAAAGAAAGAAAAGTTTAGATCTCCCTTCTGTAGTTTGACATTAAAGGGAAAATGCAAACAATGTTGTGTGTTCTAAATTCTTACATCATACTTGTTCATTTGGAGTAACCTGATACTGTCTCTTTTGTGTCATGGGTGGACGACTCCACGCAAGTATCTGGAAAATCTCTGCCATTCAGGGCAGGCAATTTGTAATTTGGGTCAGGTGTGTGCTGTATTTATGAATGTACTACTTTGCTCGGTTGGATCTAATCCTATGGAATATCAAGCACTTTTAAATGGTCTAGCAAATGCTTTTTGCATTTCTCTTAAATAACATGTACATGTAATTGTGCTTGTATTTGACTTTAGCGTTTATTACAGTTCTGACACTTTGATGCTATATTTCCCCTCGGGTGACACAGAAGTGACACAAGATACCGAAATCCTGAAATGCAGCCTTTAGAATCATAAGCCACCTCCCAGGGGTGCTTTCAAAATCTTAACTTTTCATTGTGTGCAAACAAACACAAAACACAATGTTATCAGCTACAGCCCATTCATATCTATCAAGAGCTATTTTTTAAGTCAATCTACATTTGCCAAGGCTTAATTCATCTTGGAATATGTCTGTTTCAAGAATGAAGCAGGATTCTCTGTGTTTTCAGTGAAGTTTAACCCTCACCAACCCAGATCTTAAGTCCCTAACTCAGAATGTAGTCCAACTGGTTTCAGAAACTGTAACAATAATTATGCTGCAGTTTATTCTCTAGAATAAGGACTGCGTGATCCAAACTGTCAGAGACTAAAAGTGCATTTACACCAGGGGCACAGGCTGGAATCCAAGGCAAGTGAGTTGAACAGTGCTGCCTCAGACAAGTTAGTCGTGACATTAATTAGGTCCCATTGATTTGAAGGTGAACTTATTGCAACTAGCTTAGTCTGGATTCAACCGATAAACAAGTTTTATAGTCATCCTCTCTCCCTAGGGGACTGAAGTTCTCTTTAAGGGGACATGGGATCTTTGGCAGAGTGTTGTTTTTTAAAAAACAAAAACAAAAGACTACAATTCCCTTGGGAAGAAACACCAATGTGATGTTTATAGTATAGATAGGCCCTAAGGGGAGAATTGCATTGTTATTGCGGTTCACCTTTAATCAACTGGCCTGATTAAAACTGGCCGAAAGACCGTGAACACCACCTCATGGAAGTGGCTAAACTTCCTAGCAGCAACCATGCTGCCAAAGATACCATCTGAACAAGATCTAAATAGTTGCAGGATGAAGATGTCAGTATTCCTCCCCTCTCCATTACGCTTGTGCCACCAGCATTTGTGGTAGATTTATTATGAGTTCTCAACCTCAGGTACTCTAGTGCCACACCAGTTTTTCCCTCATCCTCTCTCTCCCTCAACAACCCCCCTCCGCTTTTCTACCTTCTTCTTGTCTACTCAGCCCATAATAATAATAAATAATAATAAAATTTTATTGATATCCCACCCTCCCTAGCTGAAACTGGGCTCAGAGTGGCTAACAACAGTAAAAATAACACAGTTTACATAAAAACATAATCATTTAATTGAAATACATTCCAAAAATCAATTAATTCTAAAATCAATTCAGAGTCAAATTAATGGCAACCATTGGAATAGAGTTCTATGAGGATTACAAAAGGAGGGGGTCAGACTGTGCCTTGGCCAAAGGCCTGGTGGAACAGCTCTGTCTTGCAGGCCCTGCAGAAAGATATCAAGTCCTGCAGGGCCCTAGTCTCTTGTGAGAGAGTGTTCCACCAGATCAGGGCCACAGCCGAAAAAGCCCTGGCTCTGGTTGAGGCCAGCCTAACCTCCCTGTGGCCCAGGATCTCCAAGATGTTTTTATTTGAAGACCATAAGGTCCTCTGTGGGACATACCAGGAGAGGCGGTTCCGTAGGTACGAGGGTCCTAGGCCATATAGGGCTTTAAAGGTTAAAATCAGCACCTTAAACCTGATCCTGTACTCCACCAGGAGCCAGTGCAGCTGGTATAGCACTGGGTGAAGTAATGTAAACACTGTTCATGGACAGACTATAAGGAATCCAAATTTTGCTTTTCCATCTGAAACAAGGAGCTTTGGAACAGCAGCCTGCCTATCAAGCTGTAAGAACCGAGGTCATGGACCCAGGCTAAATTCCTTGGAAGTTCTGGTTCTCACATGGGCGGCAGAAGGAGGTAGAATCCACCCACATTGTGGTGGAAAGCTTTCCCAGCCACCTTCCTACCAGTCTAGTTCTGTACTTGTAAGAAGTTCATGAAAGTCACACACACACATTCCTGCAGCCTAAACTGGTAACGGACTCTGCCATCACATTCTCCTCCATGTTTAAACCAGGCTTCAGCCAGTGTCAGACCTAGCCTTTCTCTCAGAAGATGAAGAGAGTGTAATTGTACTCTTGTGTTATGTCCCAGCTGGGCTTGTCCAACAGAACTTCCTGGTAGATGTGACACTGACCTTCTGACAGCTCCTCAACTATCAGCCAAGTTCCTATACTGAATTGGGCCATGTTCATTTCAGGAGAAACTTTGAACTAGGCAAATTTAGCTGCTTCTCTGGCATTTATTTTTGTCAGCATGAGGAAATCCAGAGAACCTTGAGAGCCAAACCACACATGTATGGAGATAAAAAGATGTGTGGCTCTTAGTTCTCCTTCTGACACATTTGTTGCCTTCAATATATGATGCAGAACTCAGTCTTGGTCTGATCTATCTACCTTAGATGACCTCTGGAGTACAGGATCTTAGAACCAGTTTACATTATACATTTTTGTACTCAGGAATTAATAGCCTTTGGATTTAAATGGTAAGATTCACACATGACAACATTCATAAATGGTGAATGTGTTTCATGTGCATTAGTCTCACAGGTAACTTTAGGTGAAGTTTCATTTTTTATCACAGGGAAGCCCAGCTATTTAAATGTGCAGTTCATGTTTTGGAATATTTATTTCACCATTTGAGCCCAATTCTTTTGAGAGTTATTTGTACATCTTGCCACTGATGTGCTTCTGTTCTTTTTCCTTAATGCTGACTGATTTTGTCCAGATTGTCATTTAATTTTGGTACTTTTATCCATACAAAATAACTAATCCTATTATATTAATAATTATTTTACATATATAAAAACACCAAAATTAAACTACAGCCTCCACAAAATCAGTCAACATATTTTTTTTCCTTTTTTTTAAAAAAAAGAATAGAAGCACATCACTACCAAAACACGTGAACATAAAAGCCTAAATTTATACTTCCTTGACTTCAGTTAGCTATTCCAGTTTGTCTGTTTAACTTAAGACAACCATGTCTACACCAATACTTTCCCATTTGGCTCACTCAGTTCATGCAGGAACGCCCAACTATAAATTTTGCACCTTAGTTTTAAAAGCACCATTTGGGTTTTATTATTGGCAAGATCCGCAAGGCCCAATTCAAACATAGAAGCAGAACAAGAACCACAGATCACTCATGCATCTTTATTTGTCCCAGTTTGTATATAATTTATAAACTGGGTCTGAGTGCACGCAGTTGTAGATCTTTTCATGTGAAAGCAGTGGCGTAGCGTGGGTTGTCAGCAAGTAATTTGCGTCCCCTAACCCATGGATTTTAGTAGGGGCAGAGAGCTGCGAGTGCGAGCGCCCCCCCCAGATGTTGCGCCCGGTGCGGCCGGCCCCCCCTGCACCCCCACGCTACACCACTGTGTGAAAGGTAGAATTGCTAGACAGTGTGTATGTGTTTTGCTATTACCGAATTTGACCAGATGATCTGCTTTTGACAAAAATTGCAGGTGGCTGAGAAATGAAATCCCTGGACAGTATGTGATTTTTAGGGCATGCCTATAATGCCCTAAAGCACATATTTTCACACCTAGAGGGAGGGAATCAAAGTAAATTAGCTATTGCTTCATTTGACATAGCTGACCTATGCCAGAAGAAGTTGCAATTTCAAAGTGGAAAGAGTGGGGTTGTGGGGTACTACAGGAAAAGAGACACCACTTTATTGAAACCCTTAGCTTCCCTCAGAATTCCTCAGATGCTTCATTTACTGAGAAAGCCCTCCCAAATTCACTTTGAATTTTGTTTGATGGCAGCTCTAGGAAAAAGGCCACACAGTTAAGAACACTGGGCCAGAAACTCCACTGGTATAAATCACCTTCATCCCTTTGAAGCCCTCACAATTCATATCACTTGGCCTGAGAACACAGTTGTTGGGAAAAGGAGAGCCCCTTCATCTGTTCATATGCCTCTAAAACCAGGAAGGACCTTCAGAATTTTCCGGAAAACCACAGACTATGGTTAACAGCTTGTTTGGAAGAGGAAAAAACAAAAACTATGGAAAACATGTTGAGTTTGAATGTGTTGCTCGGTGGGGACAACTGTTTGTTCTGTTCCAGAGCTGGGACTTGGGGGGATCAAGATGAGAACCAGAATTGAACTGAATTTTCAAACTCCCCGTTAAACCCTTGTTTAAAATTAATGTGCCAGTACTCCTGATTCCCTAATCTCATATCATGACATATCAGCCTGCTTAAGAAACAGGTTGGAACATAACCTAGAAGAGGAGACTGGTCCTACAAATAACGAAATCAGTCTCTGCGAAAGGCAAATCTATGTGTCTTTCATGCGCTAGAAAAGTGAGTGAGCCAGTATAATATTATGTCATCCACACCAAGATTTTGAAGTGTCTGGTGGTTTGGGGTGCCTCTCAGGGTGAGTGTCCAACTTAAGACGCCTTCAGGGGGCCTTGGTTTGTGCCATTAAGGAAACTGAGCCTTTTGGAGATGTCTTAGCTGTCAGCTCAAAACCTGAGTCACCTGAAACAATTTGAAAATCTTGGTAGCTTCCTTTCAGTAGTCCAGTCAGAATCCCACCTGCCAGCAAGGCCCTGTCAAATGCATGCTCTCAACAAATGCTGCCTTTCAAACAGTAGCAAATTGAAATAATCCCAATGGGCAAATTGAATTATGGGCTCCTGTGGCTATTGCCCCAAGTCCTGTGCTCTGTTCAGGCCTCATCCGCAAAGGCCTGATCTTCAATATGTTCCAGCATTTTGCCATGTAGTTCTAATCCTAGGGGAGGAGATGGATATGTCCTGTTTTCCACCTGGATTACCAGACTGTTACCACAGCAGAGAGAACAACTGCTTTCTAAACATGTGGACAATCTCTGGTGGCTTTGAGTATCTCCGGAACTCTTCCCTTACTCAGCAAGGATAACATGGCCAGAACAACCCTCAAGAATAGCTAGATCATGAGACTGGCCACTTTTAGTCGTATACCTGACTGGACTTAAATGGCTAACAACAAAAAGGTGGACTTCTTCACATCTCCCTTTTGAAAGATAACGTACTCACTGAATCTCAGGACACCTTGTTGCTTGTCATCCGGTGGACAGCTCTGAATATCTGTAACAATATGTGTGTCTGTTGTGTTACATTGTAATTGTTTTTCTTTCTTTTAAAATAAATGTTTATTTATAAAATAAAATAAAATCCCTCACTCAATGGGGAAAAAAAGAGAGATCTATGTCAAGAATTCACCAACTCTTGCTTTTTATTCCTCGCTCTTCATTCTGTAACATGGTAATTAATATCAAGAATTATGATGCCATGCTGCTGCCAGGAAGGGGATAAATAACAAGAGCGGATGAAAATGTTATGCAAAGAATTCTTAAGGATGGGTGAGCCTCAAAACTATTCCTCACTCTGTGGGCAACCCTGGTGATTTGAGGGAGTTGCCCTTCCAGGGTTAGGGCTCCCCATATTCCACTTTTCTAACTTGCGTGTCATGTCAATTGCTAGTTATGGAAACCACATTCAAAGCACTACCAAACCCTTTGTCACGTAAATACAAAACTGATAACAACACAAACAATGTAACAGGCTGTATGTAACTATATAAATTATTTTTAAATGTGATTCAACATATCATATCAAATTATATGGTTCTATAAACCAACTTATCATATAAACGAAACATGTAAGTCCAGTAGATAGAACAGGAAATACAATCTATTCAGTTCTTATATTGGCAATAACCACGGTGTGGAATTCTTATATCAATCTTGTAGTGTTCCACGTGAAGACGCTTTTAAGAATTCTAGAGTTCCTTGTATTCAGGTATCAGACAAAAAACTTGGAAGACTGGCACATGCAGAAAATAAGACAAGGATTCCAGGATAATTCATTGCTTTGCCCAGCCGGGCTTCGTCAGCCATGCATACGCTGGATTATATAAATGAACATAATATGATGTAATTTTATACAAAACCAAGTACAGTGGTACCTCAGGTTAAGTACTTAATTCATTCTGGAGGTCCGTTCTTAACCTGAAACTGTTCTTAACCTGAAGCACCACTTTAGCTAGTGGGGCCTCCTGCTGCCGCCGCGCCGCTGAAGCACTATTTCTGTTCTCATCCTGGAGCAAAGTTCTTAACCCGAGGTACTGTTTCTGGGTTAGCGGCGTCTGTAACCTGAAGCATCTGTAACCTGAAGCGTATGTAACCCGAGGTACCACTGAACATAACACGCATACTAAACAATAAATTTACATACCATATTCTTGTATATCAGAGACATGGAACGTGGAATCCACTCTTCCAAGTTTTTCGTCTGATACCTGCATACAAGGAACGCTAGAATTCTTAAAAGCGTCTTCACGTGGAACACTACAAGATTCATATAAGAATTCCACACTGTGGACATTGCCAAAATAAGAACTGAATAGATTGTATTTCCTGATCTATCTGCTGGACTTATATGTTTCGTTTATATGATAAGTTGGTCTATAGAACCATATATTTTGATATATGTTGAATCACATTTAAAAATAATTTATATAGTTACATACAGCCTGTTACATTGTTTGTGCTGTTATCAGTTATGGAAACCAGACAAGTTGAATTGCTGGGGAAACAGCCAGCGGAACATGGCTCCATATCTGCTAAATGCACGTGCAGCTAGGCCTTTCCAGGGGATGGAAGGCTGCTCCTCTTAGGTCTTGAAACCAGTAGCTTGCCTTAGCTTGTAAAGTTTAGCCTTGATGAAGGGTGAGTGAGAAAGACATACTTCAAAATCAACTGAGGTACGATTTTGCTGCTTTTCTGTGCACACCTGTGAGTGCATCCCATGGATTTCTATGGAGATTTGTTGGTTTCCTAGAGATGGGTAGGTTCAAATTTTATTTCTGCTATGTATTCGCTGGATGGCCTTAAGCAAGCTACTCGACCACCTCTTACCCCCACACCTACAATATGATAAGGATCATTGAGATAACTTATGAGTTCTGTTTTCTACTTCAAATTGTTCCTCCCCAATGCTGCTTTGGACGCGGTGGCGCTGTGGGTAAAAGCCTCAGCGCCTAGGGCTTGCCGATCGAAAGGTCGGCGGTTCGAATCCCCGCGGCGGGGTGCGCTCCCGTCGTTCGGTCCCAGCGCCTGCCAACCTAGCAGTTCGAAAGCACCCCCGGGTGCAAGTAGATAAATAGGGACCGCTTACTGGCGGGAAGGTAAACGGCGTTTCCGTGTGTGGCTCTGGCTCGCCAGAAGCAGCGATGTCACGCTGGCCACGTGACCCGGAAGTGTCTCCGGACAGCGCTGGCCCACGGCCTCTAGAGTGAGATGGGCGCACAACCCTAGAGTCTGGCAAGACTAGCCCGTACGGGCAGGGGTACCTTTACCTTTTAATGCTGCTTTAAAGAAAGAACACTGGGTTTTCTCTCTCTCAGCTTTTGCATGCAACCCTTAATGGCTAAATAAATAAGGCCTAGCTGTATATATTACAATAAATGCTTGAATCTGGTCCAGTCTAGTCGCAGGATACTTTAACATTCCTTTTATCCAAGAAGGCAGCAGAAAGTACACTAGCTCCTACTTTTTCTAATTCAAGTCTTTGGATTATTTACTTTGTTGTTGTTGTTTTTTAGTTTTTAAAGGCACATGAGCGGATCACTGCTTGCTCACTTTGTACCACACAGTGGGGTGGAACATAGCACAGGGGGTAGGTCTGAAGTTGTCCTGGAACATTCGGCTGCCTTCCTTTCCCTTCACCTTATTATGGGACTTCTTCAGCACATTGGACCCCATGTTGCATGACCATGTTTAATCCAACGCATTGTGCCACTAGAACAAACACAGAAACTTAATATGTGATATATTTCTCTGTAGCAACCAATAAGTAACAGATTTTTTTCCCTCCCTACTGTACCAAAAAACAAACAAACAAACAACTGGTTTTGGTAGTATATATATTTTTAACCAGCTCTAAAGAAATTGGACATTTGGACAATATCTTCTTCCTCTTTGGTGCCCCAAATACAGAAATACACATATCCCAGTGTATATCTTCTCTAAACATGTTGTGGGTATTTTTTGAAACCTCAAGGCAATAAGTGCTTTCATCATTGCACCAACAGATAATTAAAAAGAAGAAGACTTGAAGACAATAATCTGTTCTAACAGAGTAGTAATATGGTGAGAATTGCATAGTTTGAAGGTAACATTTAATTAACAAGAAGCCCCTCTATTTTTAAGCTGTAGGAGTAATGACTTTAAGAACATGAGAAAACAATTCATACTTAGAAGAGCTTCATGTTTCTTAGCCCAATTTTATACAGATCCATTAGAAGTTTGCTTAAAAAAAGGGGGGGGAGGAAACACATTTTTGGGCAACCTTGTTATCTGGTATATGATGTAACTTTGTACTTGAAGCAAGAAAATATGAAACTGGGGCAATATTGAAGAAACCCCAGGCTCCAATCTCATCGTAGCAACAGGAGTGCCACGAGGTAGGTTTTTAACGCAACCTAAAAGTTACAAATTTTTGGTAGTTTCCAGTTTAGCATTTGCCTACCCCCACCCTTCTGTGCCATATAGCACTCGTGGGGTGACTCCCCCCAAAGAAGTCCTTAAGAGCAGATGGTTCTAAATTACCTTCTGTTGAGAGGGCAAAGTTTAATGTGGCTGTAGTCACTTGCCCAGCCCATGTACGGTTATCATTTTCTAAGAATTTGGGCATTGGGGAATCCAGTCTGGTGTGGAGTTGCCAGAACTATCGCCCAATTTTCAGCTGTAACACACACAGCTTCGCTAAAGTATGATTGGCTGAGCCATTTTCAGAACTCAGTAGAAACCGGAATGAGAATGATCATAGTCATAAAAAGTTAGTAGTTAATGTTACTGTAAAACCCCAGTATTCACAGGCATGAAGCTGCCAGTGTTATTTCCTGATGCTTCACTGCACCTTCTTGTATAGAATTCTTTGTACCTGAGGCTTGTGCAAAACCAAAAACTCTACAAAATCCAAACAAAGTGCTTTCCCCAGGCAGACACGTTCTTAGAAGTCAATGAGATTTTGATATGGAGTATTTTGCCTGAGATAAGATTCCTTGTTAGAGTGTTAAAAGTATTCAGCACATCATATGCTTAGAATGCAACACAGTTCAGAAGCAGCCTGATTATATTACGATTTTATCTATTATTTAACTTTCTGGCATTTCAAAGGGTGCATGAGTCTTCTTGGAAGACCTGAAATAGTCCTCTCGGTGTAGTTTTGTGTCACTGATTCAGTTACACATTTGCATCCTTGAAGGTTCTTGGGATATCCTGACCATGGAAAACGTGAAGCCAGTTTTTCAGGAACCTGAGGCTATGGAAAGTCACAGCCAATCCTTGTTAGATAGATAAAGCTGTCTGACCTGAACGGTGGTAGCTTCCTATGTTCAGGCTCCGAAAAGCAAAATAATGAAGTGGCTGGGAAAAGGGAATTGATCTTTGAGGGAAAGTGTGTGTTTCCAAAAAAGAAAAAGAAAAAAGAGGACACTTTCAAATGCCTTATGGTGGGGTGCACTTCCAGTCTTATTCCCCCAAATCTAACAAAAGTGGCATGTTCCATCAGATGCTGCAACCCCATTCACAAGTCTTTAAGATTAGCTAGGAATGGTGCCTGGGTACATCATCACCCT